TCCTGGAATTTGCTCACCCGCTCTTCCATTTCTGCAAAAACAAAGTTGTTCAGGACAAAGTTCTCTCTAAACTCCTCCATCTGAGCAGTTTGTTTCCTCCAGCTCATAATTACCTTTCCTCAGGTGCATCTCCTGGTCCTGCATTTTGGTGTTCAGCTCATCAATATAAAGGCCAGCATCTAGAAGACAAGAGTTCATTACTTCAAATGTGTTCATGTTTTCTTCTTCAACTTTTTAGAGATCTGTGTCCATACCGTTCAGGAGGGAGTCCTTCCGTTGCCCGTCATCTTCAGCCCGCTTCTCCACAGTCCTCAGAGTCGTTTTTACGGACTGCAGTTCTGTGGACAAGACTTGTTTCTCCGCCTTCAGAGTCTGCTTTACAGACTCCATTGCTTCGGACAAGCCCTTGTTCTTCTCCTTCAGGATCTTGGAGAAGTTGGTGACCTCCTTGTTCCTGTCCTCACACCTGGCACAAGCCTCTTTCAGTTCCCGCACCTCACCCTTTGTCGTCTGCAACTCTGCGGTGGTTTTTTGCAGAGAAAGTTGAAGGCTGGTTTTCTCCTGGACGGTGGTTTTGAGTTGGTGCTGGATGTAAGAGGTGGAATCCAAACAGTCCTTCTCCAGAGCAGATTTCTGTGTTTGCAGCTGTGTCACCTGCTCCTTCAGCTCTTCTGTTTCCGCCTTCTGAGCCTTAAATTTGCTCATCTCCTCCTCCATTTCTGCAAAAACAGAGTTTTTCAGGACAAAGATCTCTCTAAACACCTCTATCTCTTTCAGAAGCCTGAGCAATTTTTCCTCCAGCTCATAATTACCTTTCTTAAAGTGCATCTCCTGGTACTGCATTTTGGTCTCCAGCTCCTTAATATAATGTTCAGCATCTAGAAGACAAAAGTTCATTACTTCTAATGTGTTCATGTTTTCATCGTCAACTTTTGAGAGATGTGTGTCCATACCTTTAATGATGGAGTCCTTCCTTCGCCTGTCCTCTTCAGCACGCTTCTCCAAAGTCCTCAGCGTCTGCTGTACGGTCTGCAGCTCTGCGGTGGTTTGTTGCAGCGAGAGTTCAAGGCTGGTTTTCTCCTGGAGGGTGGTGTCAAGTTGGTGCCGGTTGAAAGCAGTGGACTCCAAAAAGTCCTTCTCCAGAGCAGACTTCTCCATTTGCAGCTGTGTCACCTGCTCCTTCAGTCTGCATGTTTCTTCTGCTTGAGCGTTGACCAGGTCAATCTTCTCCTTCAGTCTGCATGTTTCCTCTTCCTGAGCCTTGACCAGGTCACTCTTCTCCTCCTTCAGTTTCTTGGCCTCAGCCAACAAAGCCTGGTTTGATTCTTCCGCAAGAACCAAATTGTCCACCATGGCTTTGTAAAGCTCCTTTTTACTCCTGTTTCTTCTAAAACACCACATCTTGTCAGTGTTGTATCGATTGCTTTGCTTTGTCAATCTGGGCTTTGATTCTCGTATTTTCCTCTGGTTTGGTTAAGTCCCTTGTCTTGTCTTTCTTCACACACATGAACTTTTCAGAGCCGTGGTTACGATGACATGGTGTTGGTTGCTGTGGTGATAGAATGTTCCGCTTAGACAAACAGAATGACATCGCCATGTTCTGTTGCCATGGTGATTCAATGTCATGTTTAAGAAAAGTCTAAAAGAAAATAATGAAATGCATCTTTTGAAACAAATGGATGTATTTCACTGAATAAGCCATGTTCAGGGGGAGAAGTCTTTTTATTTTTGGTGATACCAATTGTATGTCATGGGCCAACTTCAAATCTCCAACGCAAAGTCAAAATATTTATTAGACATCGTTTTGCTTTGCGTTAAAGGTGATATTATATTAAAGTGTGTCATCCAAAGACTATACTGAAAATAAAATGCATTCATAAATACCGCAGCTGTTTCCATTGATGTAAGTGTGTTTTGTCTTGTAACTTCGTACATAACTGGTACGAAGTCAAACCACAGAGCTGGATTATGGAGCCTCAGGAAGTGTCCGAGTCCATAGATGGAAGGATGGATGGATGGATAAATAGATATATAGAAGCAGAAACATATCCATCCCAAACACAAATCTTTTTGATTTATTCTTTTGATCCTCAGACTTTTGGAATAAAATCTTGGGCCAGATCAAACAAGTTGATCATTAGTGTTCTAAAGTTTCTATTGGAGCTTGAGTAAAGTAGCAATCATACTGGGTAAAGACAAAACTAGCTTTGTAGATGTAAACTCAAGTTTTCTGCACACATCACATCAACATCTCTCCGGCCAGACGTGAAAATCACCTCAGAGGGGCCTTTTATATTAAGGATTTAGTTGAGGAAAAGAATTACAACCCAAAAACTTTTTCATTCAGTAGCATTAAACAAGATACATCTTCCCGTGAAGATGCCGGGTGCAGGCCCGTTGGAGGGGCTATGCGACCTGTGCCGTCGCACAGGGCCTCACAATCTTCCTTCCTTTTTATTTTTTAATAAATACACTAGTTCAAGGGTCCCCAAAGGGCGGACTGCGCTCCAAGTTCGGACCCCTAAACCCCTTTTTCTGGACCTCTGTGATTTCTTTTGATCAAAAGTACATTATTATACAAGTAAAGTCAAATTTTCACCAAAAGCGATTTGTAAACAGGCAGGCACGAGGGCAGCTATGTACGCTGCGGGTCCTCCGAAACAAACTTTACGGAGCTGTCAGATGACTTTAGCGGTGTCTGGGTCTGAGTGAGGAACGAAGAAAGTAACGGGAATGAGCCCAGTGAACGGAGAGATGGATACTTGCATCTTCTGTGTGAGGAGGAGGAGACAGAGGTGTGTGAGCAGAGGAGGAAGAGGAGGTGCAGCGAGACAGGTGTGTGTGCTGTTATTGTCAATGTTGAGTCCCAATATCCACATCAGAAACATATTATAAAAGCATTAGCAAACACTGCATGCTCAGCTTTAGCGTCCACTGTGAGTGCAGTGGATTTTGGGCATAAAACCCCTTGTTGTGGTCAGTGTGTGTGGAGGAGGAGATGGAGAAGGAGGGTATGTTGTCAGTGTGTGGAGGAGGAGGAACGTTTAGGTTGTGGTCAGAGTGTGCAGTGTTGCCAACTCCTCAGTAAGGAAAGTAGCTATTGGCTGTCCCAAAAGTCGCTAGAAGTCGCTAAATGACGTCATCGCCTAATTTGCATAATTTGCCATTTGCAAATAACTGTAACGGACGCTGTAGGAGAGAGGAATAAGGTCGTGGGAGAGACAAAAGTGAGTAAAAACACCCTAAATATGTTTAGAACTACAAATGTACAAAAATAATTTCAACATTAACAACATTTAATGATTTTAATGCTTTGTCTAGATCCACATTACACACATCAGTTTTGTCCTGTATTGTTAAATGTTATAACAGCAAATGTAATCAAAAGATTGTTATGTAGGGTGAAATTGCTAGCTCTACAACCAACCCTCCTCCTTTATCCGGGCTTGGGACCGGCAAAGTGACCCAAAAGACACACTCTGGCAGAGTTACTTAGGTTTATTTTTGTAAGTTTTTTTTTTTTTTCATAGTTTGGCATAACAAATGATTTAATGTGACCCACTACTGAGAGAAAACAGAGTCACGGACAGAGCTGCCGCGGATGGAGTGGGGGGTAGTGGGGGGTGGCGGTGGTAGGAGTGGCCGGGGAGCTTTGGATGTGTGGTGGTGGTGGAGCTGAAGTTCAGTCTGCAGCAGCCTGAAAACTTCCTGTGCTTTTGAGTCTCCTCTCTCTCTCTCTGCTCCGCCCATAGACTGTAGCTGGGACTGCTGCGCAAGGCTACTGTGAGACTGGCCGCCTGTAAGTGCTTTGGGACGGGGGAGGGGCTCACGTTGAGGACAGCAGAACAATACGTGCTTCACGAGTCTCCAAAACACCAGATAAGTCGCCAAAACACCAGATAAGTCGCCAATAACACCAGAAAAAGTCGCTAGATTTGTCGCTAGTCGCTTTTTTGAAAAAAAGTCGCTATAGGGGTCTGAAAAGTCGCTAAATCTAGCGACAAAGTCGCTAAGTTGGCAACACTGAGAGTGTGTGGAGGAGGAGGCGGAGCGTATAGGTTGTCACTCAGACCTGATGTGTGTGTTGTAGGTCCTTAGTTGTCACTCAGACCTGATGTGTTTTTGTTGGTCCTTATATCTCACTCAGACCTGATGTGTTTGTTGTAGGACCTTATATGTTACTCAGACCTGTCAAGGTCCTCATATGTGGCAATAAAATCTTGCGGGGAAAAAGTTTCTTGTAACCAAAATATCAACAGCTAGCTGTGTTACTGAACACACCTTGCTCCCCCCTATGTGATCCTCAGGTCTCTGGGACCTTCAGAAAGGCACGTCCTGATATGTCACAGTGCAGACATAGGTCCTCATTTGTCACGCAAACGCGTATGTGTGTGTGTGTGCGTCCGTGCGTGCCTGTGAGTGTCAACGTCAATGTCGTAACGCTTTGAAAAATTATGACATATTTTTCTTTTGGTTTCCATCACCTCTGGGATTGTTCCGATTCTTGGTGGTGCCAGTATCACATATTGTATCATTATAGCCATTGACATAATAAAAAATGGCAGTAAAACAAATGTTTGAGACATTGAAAACTATCCAGTCACACTTCAAACTACTTGAAATGTGGTGGTTATTCCCAAAAATCTGCTAAATTCAAAACTATGTGAGGATACCAGATTTATTAGCTTAACGCTCCTTATCATTTCTACAAGTATGATCAATAAACTTAAATGTATTAAACTTTATCAAAGAAGGGTGGAAGAATCCTTCAATAAAACACAAATATGTTTGACTTATGACTTGAAGATAACATTACAAGCAACACACACATATTTTTGCATGTAAATTCTCCTTATCAATGGAAATGGACAATTAACATCTAAAGAAAAACATGTTCAAGGAGAAAAGCAGATGGCAGTCCATACCACAACATTAACATTGTAAAAGCGTTCTTATTATAGTCTGATCTTCTGTGACCGCTTTACTGTGTCTGTGTCTAGTCCATCAGTTGGCTGAGAAGATCGAGGTGCTGGGCAGTCTCTCCATCAAGACCCGGCGCGTGCTCAAAGGCCACGTGAACAAGGTGCTCTGCATGGACTGGTGCAAAGACAAACGGCGTCTTGTCAGCTCCTCACAGGTCAATCCTCAAACATAAAGACATCACCACTATAGTATTCTTGTTTATTAGCAGTATTCCTACTGTTTTTTGTAATGCAGGATGGAAAAGTGATCATCTGGGATGGATTCACCCTCAACAAGGTGAGTGTAAATCCCATTCAGAGGCTACATTTATTTAAGTCCAGCCCTGCTTTCTCCGTTCCTCTCACCCCAACACTTATTCCACTGCAGGTGATGAGGTACTAGCAATGATCTATATCCGCAAAACTGTATATTCCCCAGTTTGGGTCCAGTTTGACTCTTATAGTCCTAGTAAGTAGTAAGTTGGACCTCCCTGAAGTTTCTAAATTTTCTCCCACTGGGTTAGTTTTCCTTGCCGATGCAGGTGGGTTGGTGGGTCTGACAAAAAGGTCTATGTGATGATCCAGGACACTTTAACATTCTGCAACATTTATGGACATTTATCAACATTCATGGACATTGGTCACTCCCTATGGACCAATACAAATGTGTTCTATATTTTTTTGTGTTCGAACGGCTTGATTCTTTGATTTGTGTTGGCAATTTCAACAGTTTTTTTTTAAAGTCCTCTGAGATATCTACTGTTGTGATTTAGGGCTATTCAAGAATACATTGAATTAAACTGAATTAAGTAAAGAATGTATCAGTTTTATATAGTGCTTTTGAAATAATAATACATTTTTTGGACACTAAAAAGGTTTTAACTAAATACCATACCATTGCAAACCACTATGATGCCATACGCTCTCAATCTTCTCATCATATGGCCTGGTGTTGATAAATGACTCTGGGTCAGCGTCCTCCTTCATAGAGATGCACTAAACGTCTGCGTTAAAACAGATTATCCGCTTATCTGTCCTCTCGTGGTGTGTGACCGACGCCGTGCACTTATGACAACTCAGATTAATGCACATTTGCACATAGCTGACAATGGCACAGCGAAACTAGCTCTTGCATGTGTGTGTTTCTGTGTGTTTTAGGAGAATGCCATCAGTGTTCCCTGCACATGGGTGATGGCCTGTGCTTATGCCCCCTCAGGCTGTGCAGTGGCGTGTGGGTAAGGGAAATCTTATGTTATTGTTCATATGCAAGAAAATAAAACATATATTCATGATTTTTAATGGTCTTCTAATGCTCCTTATGTTCCTGTGTAGCGGCCTGGATAATAAGTGCTGTGTTTACCCTCTGTCTATGGATAAGAATGAGAATCTGTCTGCGAAGAAGAAGGCCGTCGCCTTGCACACCAACTATGTCTCAGCATGCGCCTTCACCAACTCTGACAATCAGGTGGAGCGCAAATTATTAACACTGTCTTTTCATATACTCAAAACACGGTCATAGTCAGGAGATTTGTGTCAAGACAGAGAAGTGAGTTCTTTGGGGCCAGATGGGGGTGGTGGGACACTATTATGAGAGTATTAATAGAAGCTGAGTGGCTTTTATCTGAGGCGGAGTGGAGCACACTGACCCTGAGGGCTGGCCTATGCTTTTTGATTTCACACGCAAACTGTGTGTGTTTGTGTGTGTGTGTGTGTTTTCTCTCATTCCGTCAGCTGCATCTATCAACTCACTGATATGTAACACTTAGAGGTCAACAAGCAGGCGCTCAGTCACAGTGTGAAGGAGGAGAATAATGAGGCTCCCACTTGTTTCATGGCATTTTCAACTGAACATATTAGATGGATTATGGCAGGCATGGCAAACGCAGGCCCGTGAGCCAAATCTGTCCCGCAAAACTATTTTAGTGGCCATTATCCATTATCATTATTACAGTCATTTGGGGCATTGATGGTAATGAGATATTATGTCATGTTATACTTATTATTTACTATACTATTTTCTCAGGAAAATCACCATATAATTGAAATTGTTCCAAAAATGTTTGATTTTTTTGATATATCTAAGTATGAATGTTCAAATACCTCTTTTTTGATTTTTTTTTTCCCCAGTTGTGATTGAATCCAAACCTGGTAGAAAATGATATCCAAAGTCGTATCAACTAAAACTAATTTGAAAATCACTTTTATATGTTTGGCCCCAAACCAGCTCTTATGGGCTGTCAAAATGAGTGTGACGGAGAAGTGAGTTCTCTGTCAAACTCAATTTGCCGTTTGACACCCCTGGATTATTGCAAAGCAGTTGTCTAAAGGTTTACTATAGTTGTAAATGTGTAGGAATGAGGAGCACACACACACATATTGTTGAGTTAAAACTGGATGAGAATTTTTGTTTTTGCTTGTTAGCTGTTGACCAGCAGTGGTGATGGCTCATGTGCATTATGGGATGTGGAGAGTGGGCAGCTGCTGCAGAGTTTCCATGGTCATTCTGGTGATGTCCTCTCCCTGGATCTGGCGCCCTCTGAGACTGGAAATACTTTTGTGTCTGGGGTGAGAAGAAAACAGAAAAAAATTATGACTTTTATGCAGAAATGGTTTGATTTATCTTTAACTAATTGTTTCCATGTGTCTTGTGTGTATTTGATATCCAGGGCTGTGATAAGAAGGCAAATGTGTGGGACATGCGTTCAGGGCAGAACATTCAGTCTTTTGAGAATCACGAGTCTGACATCAATTGCGTGAAGTAAAAATATATTTTTTGGAATAGTGTTGTATCTTAGCTTTTACTAAATATATTTCTGCTCAAAAATGTGACAAAACCCAGAATCAGGACAAATGAGTGCTGTTTTTCAGGTACTATCCCAGTGGAGATGCATTTGCTTCTGCTTCAGACGATGCTACAGTGAGTACATCTGTCAGACCACGCAACCAAACATCTTTAAAGCAACACTGCATAAAAGGTCTTTAGTACTGGGTTTTTGTAGAGACAGAAGCTTCTATCCTAAGCTTTGGAACTTGTTTTACTGTGTTGAGAAAAACAAGCATGTGTCCTGCACAATCAAGTCAAACCTGCTGTCGGGAATGTACTAAATAAACCAAGAGCGTTCAGTTGAGAAAAACAAAATACAAACTAAAATGTTTTCAGTCTATGACTTGACTGATTGGCTGGAACCACACCATTTGACAATAATGATGTATGATAATACTGCTAATACTTTATTAAAACATGTTGCTCAGTAGAGCAGACAGTGATTAAGCCATATTAAAAACACAATCATCAATAACTCTTTTACATATATTACTGTGTATTATATCACACATTTTGTGACCAGCAACTTTTCTGCACTCTTCAGATCCGTTTCTATGATTTACGTGCCGACCGTGAAGTGGCTGTCTATCAAAAAGACAACATCATATTTGGGGCTTCCACTGTGGACTTTTCTCTGAGTGGTAAAGTGTTTTAAATAGTTAAATATTAACTATGCTACATGCAGCGTTGTCTCATGTGTCATTTCTCTCACGTCTTCTCCCAGGTCGCCTGCTCTTTGGCGGCTACAATGACTACACCATAAATGTTTGGGACGTGTTGAAAGGGACCCGCACCTCTGTTCTGTTCGGACATGAGAACCGCGTGAGCAGAGTGAGAGTCTCCCCTGACGGCACAGCCCTCTGCTCTGCCTCCTGGGACCACACCTTACGGGTGAGACATCACACTAACTATGGAACTGCAACAATGAATCACAACTAACCGAGTTTTTTCAATAATCAAACTATTTTAATTCAATTCAATTAAATGTAATCTTGTATAGCCCAAAATCACAACAGTAGTTCTCTCAGATTACTTCAAAAAACTGTTGAATTGGCCAACACAGGTCAGAGAATCAAACGACTAAAACACAAGAAATTCAACAATAAAAACACATAGAGGCATTGTTGCATAAGGGGCAGATGACCAAGGTCCATAAATGAGGATAAAAGTGTTGTTGAATATTGAATGTTATTTTAGAAATCAATTAATCGTTAACTGCTCTATTTAAAGACTTTAATGCATGTAAGTGCTGTGAGCTGTGATTTTAAAACAGAGCAGTAATTACTCCAATGGCTTCTCTTCACCTGTAGATAAAAATCAAATGTCTAAATGACTAATCAATTAACCAAATAAATACTAGCTATTGTCGAAAATAACAGTTCGTTGCTGCCCTTCCACATAACAGTGATGGGGAATAACAGATACATGAACAGAAATACATATTCCGAATACTGTTTTTGGGTGAATGTGTGTAAAAAGTGTGTAACAAAACAATAAAAAAGTTGTTTTAATCTGTTGCCACATGAATCTATGCAAATAAGCATTCCAAGAATTCAGAATACAGTTTTCTAATTGGACCTAGTAACAGAGTTTCTAAAAAATACATTTTTAATTAGACAATTAGTATATAGTAATTGAAGCATATGTAAAGCATATACAGCTACTTGCCATTGTGAATGAACTGATTTTGTTCCTCTTACAGATTTGGGCATGACATTTCCATCGACAGAAAGGACATTATCCCCTAGTGTTGATGGTAGTACATATCACACTGTCGAACTGTGAAAAAATGATTTTAAAAAATCTAACCTGAGGAATATGTAATTCTTACAAATGTGTATAATTTGATATATTTTGTCATTATATTACAGCCAAATTCAATTGTAAATAATACACTAAATCTAGTAGTCTTTTCCAATAAACTTACATTTCTATGATTGAAATGATGTCAATTTCTCATTATTATTATTGTATATACAGTTGAATTGTTTTATAGTGGTCAAGGGGTCATGAGGCCAAATGATTTTTGGCACCGAGTACCGTTAAACACTTTTTTACTAGTATATCCTTCAAGTGAAACGAGCACACAGTGGATAGTAGTTAGCAGGAAGCTCTGAATATTGGCATTTGGACCATTGACTGATTTGGACGTTTTGAATGGGTGGGGTTAATATAATAGATCCGGGGTGGGGGCGGGTGCCGGGTGGGGGCGGGTGCCGGGTGGGGGTAGTTACTTCCGGAACCCTAAGCACGCAGACTACGCAGATCACGCAGAGCACGCATGGATGAGCTCACGTCGGAACTCCGCGTGCGCGACACCGCGGAGGCGGAGCCTGAGGTAAGTGCGCAGCGTCGATGCACTGAATGAAGCGACGTCTCCTTCCGCTAGTGCAGAGAGCAGCCTGATAGCGCTGGGAGGGTAAGTCTGTCTTATATCACTAATAATTACATTATCTAACGGCTCTATTGCCTTATTACCAACACGCTCGGATTCAGTTCGATGGTTTGATACTTTTCTCGGCGTAGACTGATGTCGCTGTGTTCATTGTCGGCGTAGTAGCTTCATTGGAGCTGTTCTTTGTGTCCTCCATTGCTCTCGTCTGTGACAGCAGCGAATTGAAGAAAGCTCGCCGGGTTTAGAGCTACAATGCAGCATGATAGAATCTCACCGATCTGTCTTTTTATATCCATGTAAATGTAATTATTTATTTATACTCCTAGTACTGCTACTTCTACATCCTGGCTTCACACATAAAGCATCATCTTCATGTCCTCCTGTTTTAGTCTAATATTAGAGGATTTTATTACTATAATAATCATTTCAGTTGTAATCTAGGGTTACTTTAATGTTGTGCTGTTGCAATAGGGATGCTGTATGAGAATTATTATTATTATTATGTAATATTGTTAATAAACGAATCATTAACATTTTATTATGCTTTCACTCTATCTAAAGTCTGACTTTTTTTCCACCAGAAAATGTCTTGTGGGCTGTGGAAAGAGACCGTGGCTCTGGCAGAGGACTACCTATGCCTGTGCCTCTGCGGCCCACAGGCAGCAGCTCCTGCTCCTCCCAGCGGGGCGGCCGCTGCTATGAGGCGCCTGGGCCAGGAAATGGAGGCCCAGCACAAGGCACGCTTCCACTCCTTAAGCCAAACCTTTCTGAAGCAATGCGGGCCGGACCCTTGCTCGAGTCTCAGAAAGGTCATGGAGGAGCTGGTGGGAGATGGACACTTGAACTGGGGAAGGGTTGTGTCCCTTTTCACCTTTGCTGGGGTGCTGGCCAGACATATACAAGAGCAGAAGAGTAGCAGACCAGGGCTGGACTCTGGACAAGTGCCCGCAGACTGCAGGCGGCTTGCACAAACTATAGCCGATTACCTGGGGGTAGAGAAGAGGACTTGGCTAATGGAAAACGGAGGCTGGGTAGGCTCAAACTTTTAATTTGTTGTATTCAGATATTTGATTGATGATAGAATCCATCCATCCATTTTCTACCCTTTAATCCATTTCTGGGTCAGGGGGGTGGCAGTCAGAGATGCCACCCAAGTCTCATAGCACCAGCCCCTCACTGCCCCTCTGCAGGTGGTGAGTCCACAGGAGGACGGCTGCTCTCTGAGTGAGTCGGTGGAGAAGGTGCAGAGATGGGAATTGAACCCACGACCTTCTGGCCTTAAGGCCAATGCTCTACCAACTGAGCTACTGTCGCCCTGATGATAGAATGATGTCCCCAAATCTCACATGTTGTTGAATTAAGAATGATGTGTTTCATTTTTATAGTTACTGCATTTCATGACACCCGAGATGTGGTGGTTAGCTAGTTACCATTGAAGGCACTATCGGTCCTCTGACCACCAAAGTCAGTCCTGGGTAATGTGAGGGACTTTCTTTTCTGTGAGAACACTAATAGCACAAGAGCAGTCCCTTCCATGTCCTAATCATCTGTCCCAGGACAGATGACTGTGTAATCTATGGCCACAATGGTTGTTCTGTAAATAATACACCTACGTACATTGGTTTATTTAAATTTTTGTTCTATGAGGGCTTCTTATACTTCTATAAAATATTTTCCTCACTGTTTAAATCACTATTAGATTTACAACCACTGTCAAAATGCATACACAAATATACAGCATGTATCTGTACATAATAACTTTAGTCAGCTTTAGTCACTTTGAGTCATATTACTTATGGCTTTACTGGAACAGTCTTAAATGTTATGACTGGGCAGGCTGAGGGCAGGCTGAGAACTGGCTGAAGTGACTACAATCATTGTGGCTCCACTCCCCTGTCTGCTTCAGTGAATGGGTTGCACCCCTCCTATGCAGCTCTATGCACAAACACACACTTCTTTCTGCAGCTGGCAGCTGCTTCCAGCAGATGCCAGACCGCTCAGCCAGATGGACTATTAACGGTCCCCGCTGCCCTTACGTTGTGTGCAAAGGTAGGAGTTGAACACCTGGGGAGGAGCAGGTGTGTTCATTCAGTGTGGCTTCACAATTGTGGGAAGTTGTATGCACGTTTTATTTAGTGAATTTCCTGATATGTTGATCATCTTTGTTCACAGGGAGGTTTCTGTGAGTTCTCATGCCATGCCAGGACCGTGGACCAGGACTCGTCCATAAAGACTGCTCTGTTTGCTGCTGCTGGGGTGGGTCTAGCTGGCCTTACCTTCCTCTTGGTGCGCTAGCAACCCACTTTGACTTTTCATTTGATTTGGCACAATTTGGTAGTTCAAACCCACAATGAGGCTGGGAGACATGTTTAAACTGTAATTTCAGGGTTGTGATCTCCTGTCAACTGAATGTTTGCACATCCTTTTGACTAAATACATTTCAAAGGTTGCTTTTCCAAAAGATTGTAAAAAATAAAAAAAAGCCTTGAAGTGTAGAAGCAAGTGAAAATGGCAGGCCAAGCTACAGCTGAGCCTGAACATTGTTTGACAGTGTGTACTTTCAGTTGTGCAGCTAAGAACATTTAGGTTATTAAAGCTTGACTTGATTTTAAATTGGACAACTGCCTTCGTGTTTGAGTTTATGTGCATTAGAGCCATCTAAATGTACTATGTATAAATTAATATATTCTATTTATATAAACTGTAAAGCAGTGACCCTTGCATTATTCTTCCATGTTTATTTCACTCATGTGAATTGTTTTCATAATTGAAACTGATTTGCCGCGTTAAGAAATGCCTAAAGGTGCTATACAGCCTAAGTAGTGAGATGCGTCATGATGATTCACCTTAACAGGGACCAATTTGCATCTTGGACTTTAGAACATTGCAGTAACATTTTCCCCATATAAAACAGAACATATTTTTACATTCTTGCTGGATTTGTCACCTTTTTGATAATAAAAATATCAATCAAAACGTGTCTTGTGTGAAGAGTGAAAATATGGGGGAACACACTATTCAAAGCTTGTTCTAAAATAGGTCCATTTATGACAGAATACAGTATTTTGAGCTCACCGGCCATGTGTTTCTGAATGTGTCGTGCGAAACAAACAGGTTTTGGTGAGTTGCATGTCATGAACCACACTTGTGCCACACTTCCTCATGGAAAGTACCAAGAACATCGCTGATAAAGTTAAAAAAAACAGAGCATTTTCTATTTATTTATTTAAAATGATATCCAGTACAAAATGTTTACATTACCCTTATTTAATTCCCCTGAATAAAATATTTTCTCAGCACATGCCATTTTTCAGTATCTATAAGATACAGTAGATTGTGATTAGCACAATAGTTGATGACAAAGATAGCAATAGTACCTCTGTAACAATAAAAACTTTTAGAAATATTTTCAACACTTTGAAACAATAAAATAACATACATTGCTCTGAAAAAGTTGCATTGCAATCTGCCCAAAATGTGAGTTTTAAAGTCCTGTTTTAATGTTTAAATATTTGACATGTCAAAAATACACTTGTAAAAACAGTGGTGATCTGCTGGTGTTCAAGCAGCTGTAGCAGATCAACAATGCACTTTGATATTTCTAAAACAAGGCAACTTTTCAAAATGTAATAAATAATACAACCTTTACAACAATATTGTACCTGTCCATATGCATATTTATATCCAGTTCATAAACACTCAAACGTATAAAAATGTTTAAAATAGTTTCCCATTCATGTATTAAAAATAAAGATTAAAAGTGTGGCGACACAGCATCTTGACATAGCCTGCATGCACTGGTTTCCACGGAGACCATTCTTTCAAGTGGAAAAAGACCTTGTTCCTTGGCTTGAAGTACATGAAGTGATAAAAACAATGTGACGTGAGGTCCTTCAGCTAAAGCAGCCGGAGGGACTGGCGGGACTCTTTGACTCCACCTCCTGGATTGGCGGGGTCGTCTTGGGGGAAGGACGCCTTGTCTGGGGTGTACTCGTTTATCTTCAGATCTGAAAAAAGACAGTAGTCAGTTGAAAACAAAAGCATATGTTCTTGATGTTGTAGTTTGTTTAACACTAAGAAAACAGCCTCAAAGCAAACTTGTAAGAATGTCCATCAACCAGACCTATTTTGGATATTTCATGACACTTTGAAGCAACTGTGGTTAAAGTTCAAACTCATTCTAACATTTGCAGGAGACAGTACTTTTCCACTTGATGTTTTGTCTATCCAAAGGCCAAGCTACTGGCATCGCAGCAAAAGCTGATTGGACGGTGTTCATTCCTCCATGCTATATTATCACTTGCTGTTTGTAACATGCTTTGTTCGTGCTCTACCATCAACAATAAAACATGTCTTCTGTCTGAATTAAAGACACGATCCCAGACTTTGCCATATTCTTCAGGTGGTGGAGTTATGCGGGCATTGTCTGTAACATCTACAGAACTGACTTGTTTACACAAAAATGTGTTTTTTTGTTTTTTTTTTAAGACAAAACTGAAAAACCTTAAAGTGGTTCTCACCCCCGCTCCTCGGAGCTTACGTCACTCACATTTCCTGTTCAAATCTTCCTCTAAATGGGTGTAGCCTGGAGGACTAAAGGGGGCGTGAACGAGACTGGGCCGTTTATATTGCTCTGGGCGGGGGGCTGCTGACGTCAGGTCCAACTTCTGTGCCAGTGTTGGCGCCAGATTCAAAATTCAATTGTAGTAATACAGGTCGCCAGCAGATGGCGCCTCACAGACGGTTTTAGGCAGAAAGTTTAACTTTCAACTAATTTGCACCAAAGTGACAAGATTATGACCAGGATATGTACACAACACTATTGGACACTCATTTATACCGTTTATCAGCAAAAGGAAGTGGATTTGAGGGTGAGTTGTCCTTTAAGAGAAGAAAGATCAGCACACTTGGACAATCTGCACAGCCCCTGACTCCACTCAGGCTGTGAGCTGCTGAGACATGGACAATACCATCGTCCTCTTTTGCATGGACATCATTTGGAACAATTGGATTACACAATTTGGAACAATCTAGATTTCTGAATTTGGACATAATTTGGACTGAATTGGATTGCTGAATCTGGACACTAAAGCTGAAACGTGTGATTTGAAGACACGTCACAGAAGAATTCATGGCTCGACACGACAAATGCAGCCTGAAGAAACCAACACGGAAACGTGGGAGAGACTGTTTTCAAAGCAATATCTGAGAACCACCATTGACTGATGAAGTTTGGTAATTTACTGAAGATTGTTGACGAGTTTTTGAAGTATTGAGTTATGATGTTATGTGCAATCCTGATGGTCACACGTGAATGTGTGACCATCAGGGGGGATTTGGATATTTCATGACACTTTGAAGCAACTGTGGTTAAAGTTCAAACTCATTCTAACATTTGCAGGAGACAGTACTTTTCCACTTGATGTTTTGTCTATCCAAAGGCCAAGCTACTGGCATCGCAGCGAAAGCTGATTGGACGGTGTTCATTCCTCCATGCTATATTATCACTTGCTGTTTGTAACATGCTTTGTTCGTGCTCTACCATCAACAATAAAACATGTCTTCTGTCTGAATTAAAGACACGATCCCAGACTTTGCCATCTTCTTCGCTATGCCTGTACTACAGCCTGAAAAACATGGATAGGAAAAGTGGTTTGTAATATCAATATTTTGATCTACATATTTTGTAATGATATATTTCATCCAGGGTTCAACATATGGCAAACTTAAGCTGAGGCTGAGAAGACCTTTCGACCAAAAATCTTCAATACAATAAGACAGAATAATTAAAATAAAATAAAGGCACCAATATTGTTTTGTTAGAATGCAGTTGAGCATTAGGAAGGGGCTAAACGTTTTGAGTTCAAATTGTATCGGCTAACTTCATGAAACCAGAATCCATCGTCCTCTATACACCAAAATCAAAATGAGGCTAGTTTACTCAAAAGCATTAACACCAAACTGGTTGCACCATTTAAGACTAGGTGGTGGTCTTCTACCTAATTCAACCTGCAACGTAGAGACCCTGTGGCACAGTGGTCAGCTCTCGCCTCTCTCAAGACTGTTCTGGGATTGAATAAAATATCCCATACTAAATTTCAAATATGCAATAACAACAGATCTACAACATGTGTAACAATGCAGATGTAACCTCCGAATATAAATAGTACATCTAACTCAACTTCAGGCACGATTGCACACAAAACCACAGGTGGACAGGACTGTTTTATAGATGCCCTCTGCTGCATCCCCCAATCCCCTGTACCCCGTCTACTCTGATACATCTGCCACAATGGACCCAATGAAAAAAAAAATACTCTAAATTAGACTTGGCAAACATGGCTGCATCTCCATTGAATAAGGTTTCACCCAAGCTTTTATGATTACCAGTATTCTATTATCACTCTCATTATTTTCATATACATAGTCATAAGTGAGCCGTGCCAAATACACGGGCTACGACAGGTTCTGCTCATAAGCCAGGAATGGTTCATTTTGGAAGAGGACAGGGTAAGACATGCTAAACACAGCCTTTGCTGTATCCACTCAAATTACATTAATTTAAGTGTCCTCTCACTTGTATATAAGTCACGTGTGCGATCAGGAACAACAGCCCCTCACATATTTTGTTACTGAATATACATTATTAGTCCTTCAAACCTCACATAATCTACATCCTCTGGGGGCCCACAAGAACCTGGCTTGTGTATTGTGGCTTCAATGCTTTTCAAACTCACCAGGAAGTCGGAGTTTCCTGCAGCAGGAGTTGCAGTGATGTTTTGCACGGAAATTTCTGATGGCATCATCCCCCAGGTTGGCAGGACCAAAAATCATATCATATGACCTGTAGGAGCAATATAGAGATAAAGTTCACAAAGAGCCCAAGTGAAGGGTTCACAGTCAGATTGTGTTGGACGAGAACATGCCCTGATGCGAGCCGCAGCACTTACCCCTTCTCACCACTCTTAATGACGGATGGATCGGTCAGAATTTCCCCCACACCTACAACAGCCGACAGAATAAAGACACCAGGACCAATCAGAGCTGCTCTTTCACATGTCTACATCTAACCAAAGACGTACCCTGCAGGTCGAGCACCAGCAGCTCTCCGCGCGTGTACTCGTACGTCCAGTGGCTGAAGGCCAGCATTGTTTCCTCAAGCAGACTGGTGGGAACAATCTCCTCTCCATTGTTGTTGTTAAACTTTCTGAACTCTCCGGTGATGCATTCCTCTATGGCAAACCACTGTCCAGCAGAGTGACAATAGAGCAGGAACACCTCCAGAAACCTGCACACAAACACTCTTTGTATCAACCAACGCCAACATCAAACTGAGGACGACAACTTTAGCTGTAAAACTGTGCATACCTCGGTGAATAAGGAATTGTTTTCGGTCGGATTTGATTGAAGGCAAATGTGAGCTTCTGGGCAGCTCGTTGCTGCTGAATTTCCTGAAGACAAAAAAGATCCCTGACTTTCATGTAAGTGAGAATGCTTTAGCCGTTTCATGGAGGTAGTTTAGATAAGTGTAATTACTTTAGATGTTGTATGTAAAACCATACAACATTTTGAATGGTGAGAGCATTTACCCTGAGACACAGATCTACTACATGTGTAACAATGCAGATGGTAATCTGAAACTATAAATAGTACACAGAACTCAACTTCAGGCACGATTGCACACAAACTACAGGTGGACTCTTTTACGGTTCTGGAATCCCCCACTACCCTGTACACGATCAACTCTGATACATCTGCCAAAGATGGACACAAAAAAACAATATACTCCACAGGCTACGACAGGTTCTGCTCATAAGCCAGGAATGGTTCGCTTTGCTAAACACAGCCTTTGAGGAAGACTGAACTGAGCTGAATCCACTCAAATCACATGAAGTTGTGTCCTCTCGCTTGTGAACGCGCCTGTCTATAATAGGAAAATAAACAACAAGTAAGCTAATACTTGAGCTGTTTCATGGAGGTAGTTTAGATAAGTGTAGTTACTGTAGAATGTCAAACCATACAACATTTTGAATGGTAAAATGGTGTCTAGGTTACCCTGAGACAGAGATGCAGCACAGTCTCCTCCTTGTAGATGCTCTGCCAGGTCTGGATCACCTCCGGAAGGAAGGACTTGACGATGTACAGGTGCCCCTGTTTGAGGATGTCGTACTCGGACCATGTGCAGAGAACTTTGAGAGCGCGTCGAAGACCCCCACCCATTTCCTCTCTACTAAGGAACTCAATTTTAGCACTAAGGCCGCGCTGGGCCCAGGAAGACATGCTGTTGTTGATGGTGTTGGGAGAGCTTTCTTCCAGGCGGTACACAGTGACAGGTTCACCTAAAACAGAATGAATTTGTTTGTTGTGTAATATATTCAAAACCAATGACAAAATGTTTCAAAGGGCATTTAGACTACAGAAACAGACCAAGTACCGGTTCTTACCTTTAGGGGGCACAGGGGTGAAGGGAATACTATGGGACAGCCTCATTAGGTTGTTTCGCTCCACAGCTGTAAGAAGGTTCCACAATATTAGGGACAAATACAAATTATTTTGTATTAATTGACGTCACTCACCTGAGAATTGGACATTTTCCATAGGTTTAAACGGTGAGCCAATAGCTACAAAGACAAAATACATTTGTCAAGCTTTACTTTATGTTGTATATAAAACTAAAATTTAAAGACTAGGTGAGTGAAAAGATTAAAGAAGCCCAGATCAAGGACATTCTCGTGCACTTCCAGCATAGTCCAGCAGAGGCCTCTTTAGTCCCAAGCTGGTTCTACTACAAAAACCTTCAGCTCAAGTTCAGGCACAAAGATTATGTGGAAACTGGGAGTCGCTCATTACACGCCAAATGGCAGTTTGATGTTGAGGTATTTTATTCAATTAGATTTTGATTACAAATTGAGGCCCAATTATCCTGCCGTTGGATTGGTCAGTGAGGGTTACTCACAGTCCTTTCTGGCTCCAAGGTGAGCGTTGCGAGGTGTGAACAGAGAAACTGCGGCTGGAACCACAGAAATAAAACAGCACTGTGAACCAAAACAAAACCTCGCCATAGCATCGGTGAAATGGCCCATGCTTGGATGAAAGTGAAGGTTTACAGACTGCTAACCTGCACATGTTCACTCCTAAAACAAGCCATGCAATCTTATCTTGGTGTAATGGAAAAGGAGAAAACAAAATCAAAACAAATCATAAAATAATGTTACCGTTGGAGGCATCTTCCACTGGGGCACGTCTGATAAGAAAACAGTAAAATATCAATATAGCATCATCATCTCATTATACAGATAACACACATTTACACAAGATGGACTCCAAACTGAGACATTTATCTTTGACAAAAAGGAGGATCATAATATACACCTATATTGTTAACATTGTCCTCAAATCATCAATAAGGTTTAACACTTACAGGCTGCTGGTTTGGGCTGATTTGATTTGCACCCTTTCCTAATAGGAAAAACACAACGAATTTAATTAAATATATCTTATCTTCATGATAGATTCACAACAATTAAGATGTACATTATGTATATGATGTCTCACCAGTAAAGCAGTTCGAGCATTTTCATGAGTGAGGATGTCTTCAGCTGAAACTCTGCTCTTGTCCCTTTTCAAAGCTAAAGAAAAGGACACATTCTTATTCTAAGGTTAAAAAAAACCCACACAAATTCAGTAACTTAAAGGGGACAGCATGTAATGACTTTAATTACCGCTGAGAATATTACTAAAGTCTACTAAACTAACTAAAATCCTACTTTTGTTGATAGGAGCTCCATGTTTCAGACAGGAAGATTCTAAATACTGATTACTGATACAATCCTCCTGCAGGAGTTTGACTAGAAACAGTACCAACTGTGTTGCGTATGACTATTTATCTTCCTGCTTTAGTTTATTAAAATAAAGATGTAATATGTTTTTGTCTGTGGATTTTTTCATCAAAAAGAAAAGTGCCAAAACCACCTAACAAACTACCAACCAAAAAGGAGGGACCCCATGATAGTGGACCAAATTCCTTGAGAGAGCTGCATGCAGGTGCAGACAAGTCTCAAACTGAATTCCATGTTGTACATTTTGAGAAAATGTTTATGAACTGCACTGTGCTGCACTGCGTTTGGTGAAAGCTCGGACAGTTCAAATACTGCTGCGATGCGGTTTCTCTTTAGTGAGTCTACAGTTCATCCGCTCTTTATGATCCTGCATGGGACTCACTGAAATCCTGGTTGTACAGGATTGAGGGAAATATTCACATTTTGTTCCCATTTCTACCAACAATGGCAATTCAATGTCAAAAGCAGTTTCAGGTTGGAGAATGTGGAGAGTCCCAGCTCAGCCCTTTTGCAGCTTTTGCAGTTAGAAATGCTAACAGGAGCTAATGTTGCCAACATCTACTTGGTGCCAACAGTCAAAACATCACTCTCAAGCACTGGTCCAAGCTACCTTAACAGATCTGCGCTTTTGGCTGATTTGACCATTTCCTTTGCTTTTATCATTTATCCAGTTATTGCACATTGTTTTTCTGACTTGTTAACTGGAACACACTGGAACAGCAACTCTTAACATACACATAAAGAGCTATAGCTCCAGTAGCGTCAGTGTTTTTTTCTTGTTTAATTATTATTATTTTGTAAACTTAAATCTTACTCGAGTCAGGATGGAGAAAACCAGGATTCCGTCCAAAGTCTGTGAAGCCTGCGTACGAGCTGACTGCCCTCATGTGACCCTGTGTTTCAGACTGTGGAAACAGCATCAGATTAAAAAGAAGAAAAAGAAGTCACTTATAACTCCCTAGAGCTTGTACCTGTGGTCTTGTTTGTGCGTCAGGCGTTGGCTGTGTGCTCGTACCAGGTTTTGGTGAGGAGTGTCCCAAACTGTCTTTATGTCCTGAATGAAAAAGATCATTTGTGAGCGATTTTAAAATAAATAATGTCATCATACCAATTATAATCTCCTCCATTGAGTGAGAACAAAAAAGTCAAGTCAACATTTCCCACCAAATAATTATTGAAACATACTGTGAACAATAAAAAAGAATTCAAAACCGATTTGTTTTGAGATAAAGATGCCACGCCCACATGCAATGGAAGAACCCAGACAGATAAAAGCCTATGCAGACCAGAACATAATGATCTGAAGATGGACAGGCCCCAGCACCCCGCAGACAAGCGTTAGCAGTCTCAAACCTCGTGCTGAATTGGGCACACTTGCAGTTTTTCTTTTGCCGCTCAGTACATCTCTGTCTTGAGCTGCACACACCGAGCGAGGCGAGACTGGCACAATGGACCAGTTTTGGTTTTCAGATTTCGCACCTGGCGGTTCTTCACATCTGCTGAGGACGCCCATCATGTGCTCGTCGTTGCAGAAAGCCAGGTTCACATAACCGCTCATGCACCCCGCTCCCTCCCTTTGTCCATACCCCACAGTGTTTTTAGGCTTTGTAGCACAAGCAGGCAAGCAAACAGGCTGAGCAAAGTCTGAATTCTCAGAGATAACAACTACAGTTGGATACATGCAGTCAGACTCACTCACAGTTTGTATCTCAGCTACACAAGAGTCTTCTGCTTTCTCACACTTACCAACAAATGCCCCAAACTCTACAGTTGTGCTCTCTAGCAGCATGGCCTGGTCAAAACCAGCGGAAGTCATTTCAGGTTGGCTGGAGGGGGTGCTGCTGATGTGGAAAAGTGCCCCACTTGAGGGCACATTAGGAAGGCTGGAAGGAGAGTCGGAAAAGCCCGGCTCATGTGGACGGCTCAGTCTCTGTGTGAGAGAGTGGCCTCGGAGGGGCAGCTCTGGAGGGGACAAGGCCAAAGCACTTCGGGCCGAGGCACTGGGGCCTGCACTGCTAGAGGAGCCAGCCTCAAGATCTGACGGCCCGAGCCCAAACAAGCCCCTCTTTTCTGGACTCAAACTGGAGTCCTTTCCCATGAATCTGCGGGCAATTTCACTTGTATTTCCAAACAGGGAATCTGCAATGTTAGCCCCTGCTTGAGGATAGGAGCCAAACGAGGACCCAAAGTAAGTCCCAAAACTGCATTTCCCAATGACGGAGGATTTGGAGAGGCGTCCCGTGTCCATCGGCACAGGGGCAATGCTGGGTACTAAATTCTTGGAAAGGCTCAGTTCTCTGGTTATCTGATTGTGGACTTTGCTGGCCTCAGACGCCCTCTGAGCAGTGAGGGTCTTAAGGGTGTCCACGGTCAGAACGGAAAGGTCCTGGAGGTGGCCGATCTGAGAGTCCAGGGTGTGCAAAGAGCTTTTTATGTAATTGACCCTGTTCCCAACTTCTTTTAGTTGCATACACATGGTCTCAACTCTGAAAATTATAATAATTAAGCATTATATTTTGCAATGCTTCTTTCACAAAATGTATTCAATAAGAACAAACTTAAATGTGGTTTAGTACCTTTTTGAGGTGAGGCGTATGCGTTCCTCACTACCAGAGTGAAACTGATCGTCCTTTTCATGAAAATATGTCTCCACGCACTGCTCTTCAAAATCATGTAGCTTTTTTTGGTCTTCCTCTGTGAGAAACAGTTCTGAAGAAGAAAAAAAAAGTGTGTAACGCACATTTATCTTTTCTATTTGGAGAATGCAGAATAACATTGATTGTACTTGGTCCATAAGTATTCTCTTTCTTCCGCTTCCTACACATACAGAACAGTGAGTATATATGGCAGAGGAGGATGAACGGCGGCGGCAGAACGGGCTTTTCATGATAGGCCATGATAAAATGGTATCGCTGGTATTTCCACACAAGGTTTGAGATGGACTTCACTTGAATGTAGACATTGCTGTTGAACATGAAAACACAGGATTTAGAAAAAAAAGAGTAATACAACAATGATTTGGAATGCGTCAACACATACTTGAAAAAGGCAATGAGGAGGTTGACCATTAGAATGTACTGTACAAAGAGGTAGACAGCTTGCAGTAGAGGAGTTAACCAAACTCCTGCTGCACATAAATCCTTCACAGAACTATCACTGTTGTTGGCACAGACTGTGGGAAGAAATTCCAATACAGAAAATCACAACCAACTCACTTTATACATTGTGTATTTGAATACATTGCAAAAAAAGATCTTTCTAAACAGGCAAAAAAGTGAAACCATACGTTTTGGTTCACCTAAGCTTCCAAAATACAGACTCAAAAAGGTGATCAGCTAATTTTCTTTTACACTGATAATTTCAAGGCAGTTGATGCTATGGTGAAGCAAAAATAACAGTACATTGGTCTACAAATGAGTGTGAGGAACAGCGATTATGTCAAGTGGGTTTGATTTTCTGTGTTTTTGTGTGACAATCCTCTCTCGTGCTCCGGTGAGAGGCTTTGAACAAAAGAAAAGTCCTTACCCTCATAATCTTCCCTACCAAGCTCATCCTCCTTACCATCGATTTCATAGGCATACACCTCCCCATACATCATCCAATATGGCTGAAACACCACATCTTTGGCCAGTGTCCAGCTGGGCTCTTCATGTGGGTAGAGGATAGCTTTTCGAGGCACGCCATAGCTTAGCAGCACAATAACCATTATCACCACTATGTAAAACATGTTGGCCACCTGAAATGTAAAGGAAGATAAATTTTGTGCTCTATGAAAGTCTGGGCTCCATGTAAGCCAATCTGATCTTTGACAAATGTTAAAAGGTACACTGTGTAGTTTTTACTCTCATCTAGCGTTGAGATCATATATTGCAGTCTACTTCTACCACCAGCACCCCAGAAGGCTTCAAGGAGCATATGCTGTGTTTGACAGTGCTCCCCACCCCATGGTCATTCACCAGACCATTAACTGTGTGCCATTGACGCACAAATACGTCAAAGTAAATTTTCACGTTCCCAGACGTCTATTGTATCTATTATGTATGGGGATGGCTTGAGACCATATTTTAATCGAGCCAGCAGATGACAGCATTGCTCTCTGAATGGTTTGAAAACAGTTAGGTGCACATGTTGTGCCATTCTTTTAGAATCTGGTGTCGGATTTCAGATAGTCATAGTACACAATATTCTGTGGGTCTTTAAAAATCAGTGAAAAACCATCAGAAACGGCTGGCAATATGGAAGTACCTGTTCTGAAATGGGCTGGCAGTCAATGAGTTAAGGAAAGAATCCTTTAGTTTAATAAATGACTGGATCTCTCCAAACACTACCGCGCCACAATTGTGCGGTGGACATGTAAACAAAGTCTACGTTGTGAAGCGGCACGCACTGCACAGAGGTGTTTTACCACGGATCTATTATAATATATAGTTTTACAAACGCAGTGAGAAGAGAAGAAACGTCTGGAGAAATGGGAAATCTGTGGGAGCTTAAAACTCCAATGATCAGGAGAGACCAAGACATTGCCTTGAACATGGACATAAATGCGGCAGAACTGCGGCTAAAAGCTCAGATCATTAGCTTTCTCCAGGCGCTGCATCCGCATCAAGGAAAGAAAACAGAACTTGAATGTTCGCTGTTGCACGCTGTTGATATTCTGGCGACTGTTTTGTGGGGATTTTGTGTGTTTTGCACGTTTGAGGCTTGTCCCTGAATAAGTTTTGTTGAAACTTGTGACATAGTAGTTGAACTCTGAGCGGGTCAGAACATCCTGAGACCCATGCGGCAGATTCTGGCTCATTACTGTCGGTGTGATGAAAGTTACATATTGTTCACGTGTGCACATGCTGTGTAACTACAGCAATGTGCCTCCTGCTGTTTAAACATGGTGGAGGTAAATATTCTTCCACAGAGTACCTTTAAGAATATATCAAACAGACAAACTAGACTGACCACTGAAAAAAACCCAGGACAAGCACAGACCAGTGATTCTATCTATCAAAAGACACTTTACACATCACAGGGAGGATGGTTCTACAGGTATGAAGGTTCAAACACAATGGTTAGTAATACCTGATTTCAAAATTGGTGCATGCTGAAATATTGAAAATGATCCAAACATTATCATCTAAGCACAGTTGCATTATTCAGTAAAGGTGAGGTGTAGTGTGTTGGCAGCGTTATAAAAATATTTCACCTCAAAATGTATGAACAAAACTAACAACAAAATATATTTATCAGATGGAAAGATATACTCACCATTTTAGCAATCATTGTGACATAGGGTCCGGCTTGTTGGTTGACAGCGAGTATGTCAAGCAGTCTCACATACCAGAAGATTATATTGAGACAATAAACTGTCCGTCCTGGGACAAAAGTTTCCACACCTCCCAGTCTCAGACCAAAGCCAATGAAGAAAGTCACAATTGCTACAAAGTCAGACAGATTAAAATATTCACTAAACCACACTTTTATCTTCTGACTTATTTTGCCAGCTTCAGACATGAACATCTAAATGTAAAAAAACACAACATACAGTTAGAAATGCATAGAATATAATGTGCTAGAAAACACTTTAATCCAAAGGCTGATTACCTCTCTAATCTTTTCAATGGCAGATGTAAATATGTAGAGAATAACAATCCACTCCTGAGGAGAAGGCCATTCAGGCATCTTGACCAGAACCACATACGAGTAGAGCATCAAGAAGGCAAGGTAGAAAAGCTGACAAAACAACAAATAAATATATTATAAACATAATAGTTTTATGTGTGGTTTGTCACTGTTGGGTCAAGTGTGTTTGACAAAATTTCTACACGTGTGCAAGGGTCGTGCAGATTTTGAAGTATAAAATTCAAGCACATTGAAGGTAAAATGGGAACCTTTTCAAGGAGCCGACGCTTTAAATAATATCAACAATAATAGACATAAATTTCTCAAATTGGATGCGTTTTGGTCCAAGACAGCGTTGCGGTACAACTCGCTGATATAACATGCTACGACTCTTGACTGGGAGCACACCAGTCTCCACTTTAAACAACTTCAGCGTTACAGACAGCTTATCAAATGAAATGCATCGGGTCACATTGGTTAATTGATCACCCCCGACCATAGACCTACAAGCCAATCTCCTCCCACTAAAAAAATTGCCCTCAGTTTTGTGAGGCAAATAATGACTCACAGGGCTCTTAAAGCTTGCAAACAAAAATACACAATAAGACGATGTGGTCCGATTAGTTCACATTTTACTTTTGGACACAACCAACATGCATCGTTAATGCAAGGGAAAATATAGGTACCCAGATTTAATATAGCGTTTTAGTTTCAGTGCTTCAGGAGGAGACACAGGGGCGACATGGTCACTTCCTGAGGCTCCTATAATCCAGCTCTGTTTTTTACAGCTGTGTATTTATCGCGTGCAAAGGTTTTGCAAACAGGTTACGCACTTGCTGTTGTCAAAGCTGCTCACAGTCTGGAGGCGGGCGCTGCTGTCATTCACTACTGACTGAGTGGCCGCGATTACTCCGGGGTCAGAACGTGGAACGCAGAATAGTGAGTCCCAGTATTTGAGAAGGACAGGTGTAGCCTAACGTAACTTTTAAACTATAAACCCCAAGCTAACGTTACCTCAGGCTAAAAATAAAGTTTGGCAAGCCTAGAGTTAGTTATTCATGTTGTAGGATAGTGATAACTTTTTCAATTATACTTGGCCGCTCATCGTATTTCAGCAGCGATACGGACGTACACAGTGTCACCGAGCACCGAAAAGATTCTCTGGTGACTCATATTTTCATAGGTATTATTTTTTTTATAGTACTGAATGCTATTTCTTGTAGCGTATAGCCCTGATGTTATATTAAAACACTGTACATTTTGAGAAAATCAAGCATTTTCAAGCTCTCTGTTCAAAAATCAAGCAAATTCCAAACCTAGAAAACACCATTTTCTCGACTTTCAAAGATCTGTACGAACCCGGTGTGTGAGTTAATGTGGTGAAGTGCAAAAGTTATCATTTTCAAAAATATTTTGAGAAATGCTAGCTGAGGCCCTTAAAAAGATAAACAAAAGTATTGAATGGACTGAGGAGTTCCCTGAACTCAGCAGGTGGGGAGCAGTTCAGGTCCCATATTGCGCTTTTTGACTCTTCTCTGGTTTAAACATGATTACAGTACTATTTGGCTTCATTCACATGCCCAAAGTAGTTTTTTTTATTGATTCCCTCGAGCTGTAGTTGGAGAGCAATCTTTGACTTTAATTCTCAAGAGGCACAGAAACGACCTGAGTCACTTTGTTACTAGCACACTTTCAAATAGGTTCCAGAAGCCCTGCCTCCAGGAAGTGATTGACAGGAGAGAGAAACCAAAACAACGATCAGCACACCAGCTGTCCCAGCATATGGACCCACTACCACAGTCTGTGTTCGCGTCCATGCCGTTTTTGTGCTATTGCAATAGCAGTATGTCAACTTGGGGGAAATGTGTTTTTGGGTGCAACTATGTGAATTTGACCCGAAGGCGAAGAATGCGCAAGTGTAGCTGGACTTTCTATTCACAAGATCTGCCTCTGAAGTCCGCAACAAATCTGCGTTTCAGCGCGCACAGCCTTTGTCAGCATATGGACCCACTACCACTGTGTTGGCTTCTAGGCTGTTTCTCTGATATTGACAGCGACAAAAACATTCTGTGGAAGGAGCACAGATCCAAGCGTTACAATAGGCGACATCCGCCCTATGCAAGAAATTGCTATCATTTCTAAGTATTGAGTGTTGCATGGTGTATCCCAAAAATTATTATCACACATGTGCTTAGGATGGACAGTGAAAAATTAAGAAAAGCAAAATATAGGATCTTTAAGGGACGTCTCTCAATAGACATCAAATGTATTTTCTGTGTGGTAGAACATATAAACTTTCACTGTTGCTTTCAAACAAATAACTCTCTTGGTTATAAAATATCCTGCTAAACAATCAAGCGACCACTAAAACCATAAAATATTCAAAGAAAAAAGGGGGTTGGCAGGCCATGTTAGTTAAAGGTATTAATGTAAAGTCACGACACGCGCTAAATAAGCTCAAACCTCTAGAAAGATAATATCTACAATCTAAACAACCATCACAGTCAAAGAGCCTGATCAACCACCTCCTCCTGGAAACACTAATGCAGCAGGCTTCATGTGAACGTGCCTCAGGCACAAATGCATGTGAGAAAGTGTGCAGATGGATTCCAGTGACCCGATGTGGTGACTATTGTACAATTATCACGTACATTACACAGGAAAAATACTTCTGAGAAACAAAGGTTAGTAGTTTCCATGTCAAACATGCATTCATCGACACTGAAGACAGCATGTGTGAACATGACTTGTTAGGGTAACAAAAAACAATAGTTGTGTATTTGCATACCGTATTGGCCCAAAACTTGACAATGGGAGCATGGTAGAAGGCATAGATTTTCCTAGTTAATGGAAGTTTTCTGGGGCGAGTTTGTGTTTCCACTTCATTTTTTACTTCCATGTGGTCATGCACTCTGCTTTCTTTAAACACATCCTGCAAAGTGATACCAATAACTTGTTAGATATTTATAACTATTCAAACAACATACATTGCATGTTGAAGAGCATAGACACACTGACCATCTGAATGTCATCAACAGTGTTTTGGAAATTGCTTTCACTGTCCTCCATCGTCATCTGGTGATCATCCTGTGACTGAGGGATGTGAGCCATCTCAGCTTTGGATTTGTATTCCAACAAAAGGATGGCAGGCGGCACCAAGATACTCAGAATCACCTGGGCATGCATAAAGTGTGGAAAAGGCTTGTAAATACATGTTTAAGACAGAACATTGAGCAATAGTTCACTCATTATTATTCTTTAAAAAGCTCATGGACCTTGTACCAGGAGTTCTTGCGCATGTTTAGTCGCCCCATCCACATATCGGACAGCAGCATCTGTGTGCTGTTATGAGCTACAAACGGCCGAAGATGGGAGGACACGGCCAGTTTGAGACAGGTGGAATTACTCCAGTTTTTGAGCTCATAAGTCAGCAGCTTCATGGCCATAGTCTCATCCTGTCTGAACGACTGCTCCAGCAGATCTACAGCCAGGGTTCCAAACTCACTTAAAACATACACAAATACATATGAAAACAGTGTTGCAACTAACAAAACGCACTAGATGTATGATTAACATACGTGGAATATTCTTTAAACTCCTCAGATGTGTCATCTACAACGTCACTTTTTTTAGCCTCATAGCCCATTGATCGACAGAGTTTGCAGGCCACCAAAGCCTTAGCCATGTTTTCTTCTCCTTGTTGCCAAAAGAACAAAGCCATTTTCTGCCTCTTCAGCAGCACTGCCCACGCTAGAAGTTCATTGAAAGGGTAAGGAAAACGCCGGGTCTCTGGATCGTCAATGTCTACAATTTCCTCCTTGGTTCTTTTCTTGTTTTGATCCATGGAAGTTTCCGGCTAAAAAAAGGTAAGTAATTAAAATGGTTTCACCTTTAGTGGGAATGAACATTCAACATATACCAACAAAGCTGTACCTTTGGTTTGTATGGCTGTGCCGTTTTGATGAAGTGGTTGTGTCTTGTTTTTTCCTTTTTGTCAGCTTGCATGCTAAAAGACTCGTGACCTTTTCGCAAATGGGAACCAGGACCAGGCATGTGTCGCCCAGACCGCTGCATGTGTCAAAACATTGAATGTAATACATTACATTTTACAAAAACAATGAAGCAGCAGACACTCTTACCCTGTTGTTGGCATGGAGATTGTTGTAAATGATTCTGAACCTTTTCCGAGTATAGTTGCACCTGTAAGTTCCACCCATCAGGTACTCAATAACCAGTCCAACATCTATGAGCGTGATCTTGTAGTTTGGAGGGAGATGGCTCTGAAAAGGTTAAAAGATAAATCGATAAATTGTGTAGCATTGCTTCAAAGAAAATTATAATTGAATGCAAAACACCAACCTGTTTCACATCCCGAACCAGGTTTAAAAGAGTTGGGTTGTTTGGGGGCTGTTTCTGTAAAAAAAAATGTCTGTAATTAAACCAAGAGCAATTTTGAAACTCCAGAAAATGTTCAAAGAAAAATATTTAATACAGTGTTGTAAAGCTCTTCAAGTCGGTTGATTGTCAAAAATCGATGCATGCTAACGCCATTTTCAATGAGCAGTTTCACAAACTCCACCCTGTCCATCACAAGAGCATCCAGCATGGCCTGCTCCAGAGAGCTAACCTGCAACAACAGAAAGCTGTATCCATTAATGTTTCAAAGTAAGATTTCAATAATCTGCAAATTTAATCCATCAGAGAACTGTTGATGTAGTAAATACAGCAGGTTCAGGGAAACTTGGCCCAGTTTGGTGCTTTTGGGCAATTCCAAGGATTTGAAGCTAAAACTAAACAAATCTCTCCAGAGACTAAGAGACATGCTCACACAGAAACGTACCATTAACTGCTGTCCATAAATAAACACATGATTCTTGGCTATGTCCACACGGTTCCAGGCCATCGTCAGGACGAGCTGTTCGAAGGGAGATGAATTTGTACCTGAAATATTTGTACATGATGGTTGTTGAATGAGAGTTCATGACATGTAAATCACAATGATAAAACAGAATTTCTCATTCAGTAGGTCAATCATTGACCTCTTTTATGGTTATTTGATACAATACTACATTAATAATAACATTTGCTGAAAGTAAATTGGGTAATAGATTACTGAAGGTCATCCATCATCTCTCAATTCACCAATAGTTGGAGGAAGTGTTACTGTTTTACTGAAGTGACCTCTGTCTGTGGGGGTCAAGCCCAGTTAAGAATACCAGTATTTTCGGAAGAGTTAATAATTAGATTGAATAAACACAAACAGAAGTTCTGTATGTCGTGTGTGGACAATCATAAGCACATTGAGAAGACATTTGTGCAATCCTACAACTCACAAGAACTGAACCCAGTTTTATTGAGCGTTCTTATCACTGCTTAGTCCTCATCTAAAAAAGTTGACATTTTATCTGATCTCGGCACAAATTACATCTTTATTTGAAATAAAGTTTATTTGAGACATTTTAGAGGCATTCCAAGGATTTTTAGCGCCATTTCTACCCATCTTGCACTGTGCTTTTTACATTGAAATTTCCTCACTATGGGATTAATACATTCCTTACATACATGAACACAATTTATGAGCTCAAATAAAAAGGGAATTCTTTTTCCAAACTATTCCAACAAAATGTATAATTTTACTCGCATGAAGGAACACATTTTACATTGTATAAAACACTAATTGTAAATCTTTTACCAACCTTGAAGTAAGGCTCTTAGGATAGCCACATCAATGTCCTGGTGTTCCTCTGAGCTTATGTGAAACACTGTGATCTGGTTATCAAGAGACACAACATCTTTAGGGAATTGAAAATGTTTCAAGGTGATTGAACATTATACTAAACCATTTAAAAACCACTACATTTACTTCAGTGTAATACAGGACATTTACCAGTTCTTTGCTCTTCATACACTCCATAAGCTTCTGAAAGAGGTGGACCGCAGCACTCTGGCCAAAATTAAAAGTTTTCTTTATGGTTGCAATAATGTCAATGTCCACGCCATCAGGAAGATTTCTGAAGCAACATACATAAACATTAAAATGAACTATAATTTCAGTATAGGCTACAATCAGGAGTGTAAAACCTCAATAATGAATGTGTTGTGGCAGTGCCTACCCTTCCTCCTCAGTCTGCTTATGAACATAGGCCAGTATGTCTGCAGCACGGCCAGTTCCTTCACACACCACCACCGGCACCGGAGGAGTCTCCTGGAGATACTCGAGGACGGTCAGGATCACATTGGGGCCTCCTTCCAAGATTAAGGCCACAACAGGTACACCCTGACCAATACCTGCATACCAAACAAGAAACAGCAGATCATTTTACATTTCAAAAGTGCTCATCATGTTAACCTTATTAAACTGAGATCGTACGAGCATGAATCCTTTGCAGGTTGATGTGCTTCTCCAGGTCTCTACGAAGTTGGACTTCAGCGCCGTACTTCCCCACTGTGCCATCGTCCACCAAGAGAAAATGAGAATGTAGATTGTTGAGTACGTTGAGTTTACTGAGAGGGTTCAGAAGTGTTTGGTAGGGTGCGATGATCTGTGGTACCAAAGCCGAGACATAGATAATGACAAAAAGATGATATCATACATGGCATTAAACAATTTCAAAAATATTTAAGCCGTTTTACATCTCTGCCGATGAGATCATCTTTGTTTTCAATCACTCCCCATGGAGCAATGCCGACCGTGCATATTTTCTTAGATGATCTTGAGCAATGCTCTTTCAGAGCATCTCCAACATGCTTTGCAACACCTGTGGAGGAATAATAAATATTTATAATTATATATATATATATATATATATATATATATATATATATATATATATATATATAATTATATATATATATATATATATATATAGAAAAAATATAACATTTCAATGACCACCCAGCTGGAACTTTCCTTTGCTGAGCTCTCGCTTCCTAGACCTGGACTTCAGATTGAATTAGTTAAACCACTTTGATGTGGTTTAACAACATAGACTTCCAAAAGAAGAGGCGCAAATCTTATTTCTAAACTCTTATTACAAACTTTCCACATCCATCTGATACATTTAGTGCAATAAACCAGGTAAACAAATCTGCAGTCAGAAAGTATAATTTCCAACTGCAGTTTATTACAAATTATAATTTCAAAAATAAGTTATATGGACTAAAATCACCACAGTTGTTTTGAACCACAACTAAACTAAACGGATAAGAGAGATGCAGCAATAATTTGTGAGCCCTTCCACGCTGACCTGGGTGCCAAAGAGGCATTAGAGTAATCACTGGCTCTGGGTAAATGGCCCCTATGAGTAATGATTTAAAGACTGTAATAGACCACAGCATCTTAGCAGCTCTTTGCGGCTCTAGACACACCTCAGTCACAAAACACAGCCAAATGATATGCTTATGGGCAAGTATTACGGGTTCTGCTATATCAGCGCACTGCACTGAAGAAACTCGTTTCAGTGGAATGTGTGAATTCCTCCTCATGACCGCCTGAACGTGCCTTTCTTTCAATAAGACCTTTTTAGCCAGCAATGTACCTGTGTTGACACCTCCAGTGAAAATCCAGGCCCCGGTGGTGACTGCAGCTTTAATTAGGCCTTTCCCCACCACCTGCTTGATACGAGGGTGAAGCTCAAAATTTTGAACTCCTCCATGAACGGAGATCAAGATCTTGGGAAGCTCCATGTGCCATTCCTTCAACATCAGTCGCAAGATGTTCTCAGGCTGCGAGTCATGGGACAAACGCGCATACTAGAAGTCATACAACCACATGTAAGGCAGAGGTAATGTAGGTTCATATCATGTATAATATGTAATTGCTGGAAATTCTGTAATATGGGAAAAATGCAAATGTAAAAGCCCTTTAACCTTGGCTCTGTACGAGTGAGAGCCTCCTTGGAAGTTGATGACTCCGTAGGCATCTGTGGGAGAGGCCTCTGTGTGTTTCTCCACTGACCATTCCTCCAACTCAGGCACAGACAGGTTGCCATTCTCACCCAACCTCACGTCCGAATATTTGGAAGCAATGCCGACTGAGAAGCCATGTTGCCGTGCAAGGCGCCCACAGTGGCACCTACACAGAAGAGTAAGTTATGTGTGAACGTGTGAGTAACACCGAAAGGCTAAAGCTGGAGTAGAGAACTTTGAAACCATAAACTGAACCATGTAATAAAATCTATATAACTCATACCTCACTCTGAACAGTTTTAGTTTAGCTTTGTATCTAAAACATCTATTAAATTGTAGATGTTTTAAATTAAACCTTTTCAATGAAAAGGAGTACCAGCCAGTACCAAGTTTTCTAATAGATAAGACAGCATGTTTTGGTCGGACTTTTTTTACTTAGACAGGACTTTCTGCAGCAAAATACATTTATGATACAAAAAGGTAGGTACTCCAGATTTAAGGTAATAAACTACTTTTTAATGAAAACTTGATGTAATTGTGATTTGGTTTAAATAGACCTTAAAGCTGGACTACCTCACTTAATTTTTGTATTCATTAGGAAAATTCCATCCATATCCATGCAGTGCATTGGGACATATATTTGTACTGGAGTGTAATTTTATTTTAGATTGAGTTTTTGTGCAACGCGGAAGAGACTTTGTTTTGCTTACCGAACAAGCTGTTTGCAAATCTGGCATCCTGGAAGGCATCTGAAAGGTACAAAAAAGTCAACTATAGCATGTCTGAAAAATGCCAATGTATTTAACTAAAACGTTTAACCAGGCGCAGTGTGAAAACTTGTCATGAATTATAACAAATTAAAGTGTCATGTCAAATGTGTCTTATTGTGAAGGACCAACTTATTTGGCATGCCAATCATAACGGTACATTTACATTTTGTCAACGCCATGTCAAATACCTCAAGTGAGTTGTGTTTCAACAAAAACCGTGGTGTCAATAAAAACAAATGTGAACATGCCTTGCTTAGGAGAGTGGTGGTTTGACTTAATTACTCTTTGTATCCAAGTGATAAAGTGGCTACAAATCTCACACTGCAGTTCTTCTTGGAAGGGGCCAGAGTAGAGTCACATACCTGTGGGGGTCTCTGGACACTGTGAGCATATACACACATTCCCGCTTGCTGAATGTGTTCTCGATCCAGGGTTTCTGGGACTGAGGAAAAACAAAATATGTTAACACAATCTAACCACATTTCTATACATGCTTTTAGGGTGGAAGTAAATATTTTGACTTCACCAAACAAAACATTTTTGACTATAAAATTACATGGAACATTGCAACCATTTTGATAAAAACTTTCCTGAGCCAGATCACGTTCTGTCACTGTTGTCAAAGATCACAAACTTGAGAGTTACGTACATTACATTTTTCACCTATGTAGATGTTTTAACAATGACCCCCAGGACTAGGACTGCGAACGATATTGATATAAAATCTATTGCTAAATTGGAAATATAGTTGGCTTGGGCTGAATGTGGAATTATAACTCGGACAAAGTTGTTCTTTATGACTTGTACGTAGCACAAATAATAGTTAAGAAACAACATAATTAGACCCATTTCGTAAAACGTTATACTGTAGCTGTGCGTGTGATTTGAGGGGAGAAATAAAAAAACTCTTTTCCTTCTCTTCACTGGTATTGGTTAATACCTATAATTTGAAAGTCAAAGTCCCAGGATGGTTAACAGACTTGAAAAAGCTTGATTTATGCAGACAAACTGGTGTTACGCGTATATTTCCTGAGCAACCCGACTAACTGATACAGACGCATTGATTCATACAGAACAGAAGCATGAATTAATCCTACGGTTTTACTTTTGAACAGATTAAAATGTGTTCTTAAGATTCATGCCACAGGAATTTAATAATGCTTATTGTTCCAAGTTGACATTCCAGAAAGCCTTTGAGAGCGATTAGTGCCACTAATCTTCTTAAATACAAAAGAAACCTGCAGGTTCAGAGAACAAACACATAGAATTCACACTTATGATGCATTTTACTCCTTTCTTATAATCAATCCAAATTAAACCAAAAGGACATGCTGGCAGAACGCAAACTTCCACATGTTGCATCATGCTTTTGGCTTTATAAACTAGAACATTGACAATCATCAGGGTCGACGCCCCCTCCACTCTGAAAATATTTCTTAACTTTACACTCACAAAAAGTATATAAATAAGACTGAAAAGTAAAGAAAAAGAAAGAAAACCAGAAGGAATGAAAAAAGCATCTACATTAATTGAGCAGTGCAATGTCTTTTATGAAACGTTGCTACGCAGGAGAGAATTCTAACGACAACAAAGCAGCTTGTGTTAAGAAGCAATGACCAATAACCAATGACTGCATACCTGGATGTCTTCCTCATCTCTGTGTTTAAGAGCTTTGTACAGGAACATACCAAATCTTCTTCATGCATCTCCTGAACACACCACAGTCACCACAGCTCTGTCCCAAGGCCGCACTGAAGATCCATCCAACATTTACGCATCGGTTTCAAAGTCTACATAAGAATTTGCCACACAAATCCGGCCTCAGTTAAAAAGTGAAAGCCCTGAACTCCAATGTTAATCTGTAAGAAGCAGCAGATGAATGTGTCTGGGACAGGCTAGATATTACACCCGCAGCCTGAGGAGAAAGAGGCGCAAAGGCGGGGGATAGAGAGAGGATTAGAAGATGGGCAGAGGCCTCGATGATATACACCTTGTTGTCGACTAAAGACACCCCAGCAACCGTGATTCATCCCACACATGGCTCCTAACACCCAGACTCTGCATCAAAAACAATCATTCCAACAGTCAACTCCACGGTTCAGCAGCGCTATAATCCATTGTTTTTTTATTTTTTTATTTCACCTTTATTTAACCAGGAGAGTCCCATTGAGATTAAGAACCTCTTTTTCAAGGGAGTTCTGGACAAAAGTTTCATACAGTTACACACATACATATTATAAAACAGTTACATACATCCATCCATCCATTTTCTTTCGCTTCATCCGTAGCCGGGTTGTGGGGGTTGTATGCATTGTATGCAGTTACATACAATTTCATAAAATTACGGATTATAAAAACAGTTACATTTCAATGAGGACATCTCAAGTGCTCTCAATCTCAATTCTCAATCAATTTTTGGTGGAAGGTGTTCAAAATATATGATTAATTACATGAAAAATGTTTGGTTTAAAATCTACTACTAATAATACTAATAATCTGATACTAATAATCTTTTTTGTTGTTCATTTCAGAGAGCTTTAGCAACTGATTTATTTACTCATTCAGTCATAGTTGTAACGTTGTGTTGCTTTTGTCTTTGCATTACCATTATTGACTCAATCTGTGGAACTATACCTAAAAAAAGTGGTTGAACTTGAGATAATAAAATAAAGATTCTAAGAGTAATATTTGTTTAACTACTTTTTAAAAACTAATTCAAAGATGCAAATTAATATTTGACTGATGAGAAACGCGGCCGCAGTAGCAGTGGTAGGGCTTTGCGAGAGGGTGCTCTGAGGACAGCGCAGCGGATGGGAGCGACTGCTGCTGCAGTCTCTCCAGTGCCCCATAGCACTGGAGAGACTGCATTTTCATTGGAAGTTATCAAGTCATGTAAATCACTTTGATAGTTTTTAATATCTGCAAAACTTCTGGGAGCTGGCAAGGTGGTGAACTGGTGGTCAACAACAGTATGGCCAGCCAGATCCATCTACTTTCAGGGTCTTTGGACCAGTCACAGATTGCAAAACAGGGAACAAGGGACTTGCCCTGCATCTGATTACTTCTTTCTTCTCATTTTTATTGGCCTTTGTGGAATAAAATTTACCAAATGCAAGTAAAAACACCTTCAAAAATGGTTTGGTTCTGAACTAGAGAGAAAGAATAAGTAAAAAGAAGCTCATGATTGAAAATGTACATTCAAAGCTCAGTGTTGCTCATAACAATCTCTTTATAAAAGTCAGAAGCAACATTTTGATAATCCACCTGACTCGAGAGGGCGAGACATTGAGTTTTGCCTGAATCCACAGTGGTTGGGTGTGGCAGATTAAATGGGGGCAGTACCTGTAACCATGGCACCTGAGAATGTCAGGACATTCAAGACAAGAGGGCTGCAGATCCTGCCAAAAACACACTTCCTCTTTCTCCTCTGGTTCACAAAACTCTTATAGCAAGCACTAGAAATCCTACAAATTCTCAAAATATGTTCCAAGGAAAATTGTATTTATTGATAGAATGAGGGAAAGAAGTTATGCACTTTGACATTACTGTTGCATTTTCACACGCACACAAACACTCTCAAATTTGTGCACATTCAAAATGAGGAACATCAATGACAATGAAAGAAGAGGAGAGGATCAAGATTGGAAAAAATGAATAAATTGAACTTTTTTGTGGGCATCTATAAGGTTAAGCAATTGATTTACTATATAATATTTACACTTATGTCAAATGTAAGTAAATTGATCAAGATTGATTAGCATTAGCATTATAGATGCCCACAATAAAAAATAGAAATATTGCAATTACAGAACAAAACACTTGTTTCTGTGGCCTGTTCTGTCCTTTTACCAGAATAATGAAAGTATTGACATCAGTATCCAACACGAAAAAGCTGAATAGGTAGACCCCCCCTCACAAAATTAAGAAAAAGTTGGTCATGTGAATCAATATTTATTATTCCATTGTGATTACAGTTTTTCTTTGAGTCATAAAACCTCTTCATGGCATGTTTTTCTGTATGGTTGAAAATACAATTTGATTTCTAAACTATCTGACAAATATTTCAAAAATTGATCGCGAATAAAAGGATCCACTTTTTGTACAGTGCTATTGCAGAGAATTTAATTCATTGCATATAAAACTTAGTTGCTTATCCCTTGCTTATGAAAATGAAGTAATTCACATTTATAGGCTAATAAAAGTTCAAATAAAATTTCAAAGACTATATAAAGATGGGCATGGCAGAAGTAATTCTTGGAATCTCGGAACAAAGTCATTTTATAATATAGTCACAAGACTATGAGGTTTATCTCGACTTGCCCCTGGTTTGGACAGCGCTCTGAGCACATGCTGATAGTCTGCTAGTCACTCTCTCCTCAGGCTGTGACCTATTCCACAGCACACAGGTCAACATCTTTACACAATGAGGAACACAAAACAACACAGAACAGTAATGAAAAAACAACTGATCACACAAATGAGCATTTAGCACAGATTACCCACTGTAAATAGAGAAGAGAAAATAAATTGAACTCTGTACAATTATGAATGCACTTCCTAGAATAATGAGTGATGTGGCAATCACTTCCATCGGAGGATTGCATTTTATATCAGGATTGCATTTTTATATACAAAAGTTTAGATCAGAAAAGGCATGTCCTTTGTACACGTTTTCAATACTTTATAGGCCAAATGGATCACCTGTATCACCGAGTCTATGAAGAAACAAACAACTGCTTATGTCTCAGAGTGTAGTCTCACTTTATGCACAACATACAATCTTCATTCACCACAACATCTGTGGCAGACATCAGGAACACACAAAGCACTCTCCTCGAAGTGGCTCTCTCAGGGTTGTGTCCTGTTTGAGTTGTCAGGAGTATTGAAAATAGATATTTAAAATCAAAAGACCAGCGAAACTGGATATCCATCAGAGCAATAATCGATACTAAAAGAATAAAGACAGACAAACGTTGTGTTGAATTAACGTTAACTTACAAGTTATAGTCACTTGAAGCTTAGACATCAACACATGTCTATGCTGAAAATGTAGTCCTGATGAGAGAATAGCATTAGGCTGCTGTCATCGTCCAGAAAAATGTACTTATTAAAATCATCAACGGCTAAATCAGCACCCCTTGCTAGTCACGTTAGCTCAGGTTAAATACCAGGCTATGCTAGCGCTATAGCGAGCTAACGTTAGCCGACATCCTGCTACAATTACACCGCGTGCAGTGAGCGATTGTCTACAGATACGATCATTTGAGTAGTTACCCAAGTCAGAATAACTACCCTTCATATCCAACCTGACTGAGAAGAGGGACGAAACAATTGCAATAGATCAGTATGTCTGAGGAACCTGCCATCCAGGACTTCTCTTATCCACCTCGATCAAGAGGACCACTACTTTGACAACACTGCAGAACCAGACCCGGGCGTAGTGCTAATAATGACACATACCATCCTCTTCACCGTTGAGACTGAGGAAGAGCTGTGTCGCAGCGTGTATCCATCTATTGACGCTGGTCTCGGTTGGCCTCAGAAGGAGAGCCCTGGGAGCGCTGGAGAGATCGGCTTCAGCTGCAGCTCCAGTGGAGGGTTGCTTTTTCATAATTGTGCGACTCCAGACTGACACTGTGCGCTGTGCAGGCTGGGGCTGAGCAGCGCTGCGTCACAGAGGCGGAGCTCCGCACATGTGCACTTTGTTTGAGACTTTTACACCCTCACCTTGCTCTGCTGGTTTAACCTGCTGTTTAACCTGCTGTTTAACCTGCTGTTTAACCTGCTGCTTAACCTGCTGCTTAACCTGCTGTTTAACCTGCTGTTTAACCTGCTGTTTAACCTGCTGTTTAACCTGCTGTTTAACCTGCTGTTTAACCTGCTGTTTAACCTGCTGTTTAACCTGCTGTTTAACCTGCTGTTTAACCTGCTGTTTAACCTGCTGTTTAACCTGCTGCTTAACCTGCTGCTTAACCTGCTGTTTAACCTGCTGTTTAACCTGCTGTTTAACCTGCTGCTTAACCTGCTGCTTAACCTGCTGCTTAACCTGCTGCTTAACCTGCTGCTTAACCTGCTGTTTAACCTGCTGTTTAACCTGCTGTTTAACCTGCTGTTTAACCTGCTGTTTAACCTGCTGTTTAACCTGCTGTTTAACCTGCTGTTTAACCTGCTGTTTAACCTGCTGTTTAACCTGCTGTTTAACCTGCTGTTTAACCTGCTGTTTAACCTGCTGTTTAACCTGCTGCTTAACCTGCTGCTTAACCTGCTGCTTAACCTGCTGTTTAACCTGCTGTTTAACCTGCTGTTTAACCTGCTGCTTAACCTGCTGCTTAAGCTGCTGTGACCATAGACCAGTTGGTTTTACCTGATCAATGGTATCCTTGGGTATGCATTATTATTCTTATGGATACTGTACATCCGGATTATGTTTTCATAGCATTTTGTTTGCAAGATATACTTGTGCTCCAAAATGTACACACCTAGGACAGCCATACATGTAGAGAATATCAATAATAACACAAAAAGTGAACAATTATCATTCATAATCGCTCAACTTTGGGAATTTCCCCCACAACTTCTGTATGAGTGTGTAAACTTACAAGCACATCTTGTATCTCTTGGGGAAACTTGCTAATAATCAAAAGTCCTTTTACTTGTAATTCAATTTACAAAGTGACTCTATTACATGACTCATTACACTTTAAGTGAGATATATTGAGTCTTTATTTGTAATTTGTTATAATTGTCTCACAACTATAAAACTCTTTTGAAAATGTACTGTAAGCCATGATTATCAAAAAAACAAATGCTTGACATATCACTTAGCTTGAGTCAATATCATGTTTGCTTCATATATTTATAAATGACAGCACCTTAAGACAATTATTAAAATCAGAAAGTAACCTTTTTAATGTAACCATCATGATACAGAGGAAGTATTGTATGATACATTAGTAAAACATACTTGTGGTGTGATTAGAAATTACTATTAAAGACAAACCCATTATAATAACGTGCTTATTTCTTTAACCAAGTGCAATCTATATAAGGCATATTGCGTAAATCAAATAAAAGGTTTATGCATTAAAAAACATAAATTATAATAAAGTAATCACTATTGCAATTGTATCATTTCAGGTTGCACTTCTAAAGTAAGGAGACAAAGGGTTACCCGTTAACTACACTTCCCTTGTTTTATAATTGCATTTAGTTTATTATATATTAAAAAACTTTTTTTCTTAATATCAGCAGCACTCTGAATCAGCAATTTTCACCTTCTATGGCTCGTTCAGTTCTTCCCTCTGAAAAACAAATGGAAGAAATTTAAATCCAAATCTAAAATATCCCATACGCATATGGTACGACAGTTAAATTGCACAAAGCAGAATTGATATGTATAATGAGAATGTCAAAAATAAGCACAAGTAAACAAACAAAAAATAATTTGAGGAACTCTTAAGTTTCTTGCGATGACACAAAGTTAAACACAGCATGCAAAAAGAGAGATCAGAAACTCTATTGACTAATGAAGCAGACATTGTATGTTCAGAATGCGCTGTGGTCAAATATCACCTGACTCCTTGAATATACATAATCTTTTAAATGTAGCAGCCTGGAGCTGGTGCAATTTTTCAAGTTTTAATTGGCATTCTGTATCGTTTTGCTTTTACAAACATAAAATGGGATGGCACCATACGGAACTCCTACAACCACACAGCAGAAAATCAAATATCACCAAAGTATTTTATAACAAGTGTGGGGTGACTCCAGTAAGCACTTCAGTTTGCTGCTCCAGAGTTTGGGGTTCCAGAACCATATTAAGTGTTTGCGTTTTTATTTTTTCTAGGAGCCATATCAGAGGCAAACCACAGATTATTTTGACAGTCAGCTCAGTAAACCACACAGGTTTGGCTGGGTCGACAGCACCTGGAACATGTCATGTGTGATGTCATGAGACGCTTCTGAGGAACACTGAAGTATATTGTCAAAACAAGTAATACAAGGTACTAACATTGCTATCTTACATTTGTCAGGCATAGAAGAACCAAAATCACGTACGATAGTATAACATGTATCCCCATATTATCACATTATTAAGCTGCATATGAAGGGAGATGGCAAATAAAATTATATTGCAGCCAAATTTGGATGGATTTCACTTTTCCTTATTTTTGTTTACATAAAGTTGTGCTTTATAAACAGATCAGCTTCCTCTACACCACTTACAGAGGAGGAGACCGGTGCTGCCTCGAGTCATGAGAAGGACTGACTGACCACACTGACCGCTTGATACCGCCGTATCAAGCAGTGACTGTCGGGGTCCATTATTGAGGAAATATTGGCCAATAATGGTGTTCTTTCAACTACACACAAACATGTACTAAGTTGTGCCATCATCATCCATGTTGAAACACAGTCCTACTTACTGTATGGGTTCCTCAGAAAAATGATTAGTTTTGTTTGGTTATTTTGGTCAAAACTAATTTAACAGGATGCTTTACCCAATAAAGTCTAATTGTTAAATCTCTCCTATTCTGTTTTCTAACATCCAGTCTATACAGCGGGAGCTATTTTTTCTTTTTTTGTTAAATGAACTATATACACATTTAAACATAGTTAAGTGTTGGAGTTTCTATGATTCAAAATGTTGACACTATGTGCTGGAGTATAATATTTATCCATTTTGAGCAATATTGGTCAACCACAAGCAGTTACCCCCAGTTACTTTACCCCCTCTCCATGATCATGCTCCAAATATTATGCCAGCGTTTTAAGAACAACAAATAGTCAAATAATTCAATTTAATCATGTTGAAAATGTGTATGCAAGGGTGGAGATGAAGTTGACTCTTAATGACCACTCAATGTGTAAAAGTTACCAATTTCAATGTGACCTAATCTTTGTGCTACAGTGCCAGTGTCCACTGAAATTAGTATATTCAGGCGGTCCTCGGTAGACACAGAACATTGCTGAACATACAGTGAAAATCCTATTAAACATGCTATTAACTTCAAGGCTTTAGTTTGCATTTTGACCAGATCGATCCATTGCCTTTTTATTAGTTGGGGCCACCTAGTGGTCAGTTAATGCAAAAAAGGAAGTAAGAAATAGTGGAGGATCATGATGTAAATTTAAGTTTTATGAAATCCACACCTGGTAGCAAAGGTTCCCTGGATGAATCCAAGACCTGTTGATGATAAGATTAAGATTTGTTTTTCTTCCTTTTACCATTTCAAATCTGACAAAGATACGTTAGCGCAAACCCTTACATTTGCTTTTAAGGATTTCATACACTCTAAATTTTTTGTTTACATTTTAGATTAGTAGGGGCTGAGAGCTCAACAAAAAGCCTTGTAGTATGACAAATATTAGAATTTATTATTAGGGTTAGGGTTAGGGTTATTTTTTACAGCTATAAAAAATAACCCTTCAGGCCAGAATGAGTAGTGTGTGTAGTTCTACTGTTGTTTTTTGTATTCTTTCTGGACAATTGTATTCCATAATTCAGTGCATTTTTGTTATACATGTTCTGAATTAAACATCTAGAATTGAACCCTTTCTCTAAAAAGGGGAAAGTTCACCTTTGTCTAGTGTGGTTCTAAAACCAGACAGATTACATAAACGCATGGCGTATAACACTAGGACAGATGGAGCCCCCAACTGGTTTTAGGAATAACTTTGTGCTCCACTCTATCAACACATTGTTCTTTCCATTCAACTTAAATGAAAAATACAAATAATATCACAATGAGTTTTTTCTCCGTTTGAAAATCTGGCATTTCAGCATTAATGAATCAAACAAAAAAAGCATGACTTTAAACATTCTGAATGAATGATACGGAATGAAATGCCTTACTTCATAGATCTGTCCATTCCAAAATGTTTTCATTTCTCTTCTGCATCCAGCCACCACAGCAGAGGTTATTAGAGTAAAAGGCACTAGGTAAAGCAAGGCTGGCTGACCCATCCCAGACAGAAGCATGGCTGCAAATGTGACGATCAGTCCCATCAGGTAAGCTGAATAATACAAGAGATTTTAAGGATGGCATAATCAGTAGTTGATATTCTTAAAAATAGAAAGGAATATGAAAGACTTTTCTGTACCTGCACAGCAGCTGGTGTAGTAGACCTTCCATTTACTATTTACCCACACATCAAACCTACTGCAGTAAGCTACCAGTAACCCTGGGGATGCACAGACAACATTACTTAACGTTTGCAACTGCATTTTTACAGCTGGCAAAGAAATGGATGGATCATAAAAAATACCTGGAATAAGAATATCTCCATAGCCCAGAATTGAGAATTGCATCCCGCATAAATTCTGGGCCATGCCTGAGAACCGAGGGACTCGCATAACAACAGGGAGCTGAGGAAACAAAAACAATTTTACTTACCTTAGAAATGTTAAAAGTTTTGTAAATTGTGAAATAGTATTATCCAAGAATCAAGCCACATTACTGTTAAAGCAAAGGCTTCATTGTCCCCCACAGGAAATTTGGCCTCTACATTTAACCCGTAAGATACTTTCTTTGTATTTTTGGAGAGGTATATGACATTTGTAGCATTTTTCTGAATACAATTTTTTAGTTTCACATTATAGGTTGTCTTACAGGAATAAATATTTTTCCACAATATTCTTATTATCCGAGTTTGACCTGTAAATTCCCACCACCCCGTTAACAAACAACAACAACAAATGCCTCTAGTTGGATGCCTGTGTATTTGGAAGACACTTGAAATGATATTTAGTAATATTTCACTAGTATACAAAAAAGAATCTGCAGGGAGTTGAAATCTCCAGGCATTGGTTTTTATTTTACTATGAAAATGGTTTGCCAAAGTGCGGGTCTTACTTTTTCTGTAGGGGGCTGGGGCTCAGCAGGCACCTCCACCATGTTATCCTGCATCTATGAAAATAATCAGTTAACAAGCATTTATATGGAAAACAAATGTAAATACGGAAAGTAGTGTAAATGTAAGGCAAGACTAAAGCCTTTGTATTTTGATGACAACATTTTATTTACACAATAATAAAGATTAAGAAGAACTCATTTAATATGTACCTTTTCGCCAGACACATCCGGGCCAAGTGCAACCTGCACCATGATACTGACTCCATTCTAAGGAAATATTGATTGCAATCTATGAATCTAAAGGAAAATGTATACAGAAATTGTTGTACATGTATCTAACAAACCTTGGTGAAGAATGGGGTGATAAAAACGAAGAAGACGTCATAAATAAGAAGGAGGCTCAGTAGAATCACACAGATCTATACAGATAAGCCAAGAGACAGTGGGGACATGTTACAGAACAGGAGGAATAAAAAGAGATCAAACAGTATGTCGTGTCTTGTCTGTTGACAAACGGTATGTTTTGCTGTATCCCGTTCATTGTTTTGGTCTTTTAGTGCACATAAGCTTAAAAAATAATAATACTAAAAGAAAACAGTCACAAACAGTCAAAAATATAGCTAGTCACAATATAACTAGTATATTTAGTTGGAAATGTCAGCTTGAATCAGACATGACAAACAGGATAAACATGATAAGAAAAAAAACTGACCTTAAAGTTAGACAATGATATTGTTCTTATGAAGTTAAGGCAGAACGCAACGCCAAGGATATCCTGCAGTACCCAGATCCATCTTCAAAACAGACATCACAAATTATATAAATACAAAAACATAATTGCGCGCTGAAATGTGTTGATAATAAACACAGTCTTACCGGTCTTCATTCCTGTACACTCCCCAAATCACAGCAATCACAATGCACACAGAAGCCAGAATAATTGACCTGACAGAAAAATTCCGATTCCTCACTGAAAACCTGTTCAAAGGAGACAATTGACCAATGGACATGGCATTAATATTCCTTTTATTTGCCATTTGCAGGAAAAGTACATTACCTAAGAATATAACACTGTTAGAACTATTGTAAATTTTTGTTATTAGCTGTTAAAAGTTACATACCTTATAGTGCCACAGCCAATTTGATCCAACACAGCATCAAAGCAGAAAAACAGAGCATTTGCAGATGCCACACAGAAAATAACAATGATGACGTACACTAAAAGGAATAAGAAAAAGAATGACATTTCAGTATAAGATTATAGAGACCAATGGTTTCACTGGAACTAACCTAAGACTTTGTAGAAGTAGTACATGAGGACAAGCATTCCACACATCACTAAAACCAGGAGCAGCACTTTTAGAGGGGAGAAAATGGAGATCTCTGTGTCACTTTTGCTTTCAGCTTGTCCTTCATTGTCACGGCCCATACTTAATCTCTCTCTATCAAACAGAGAGCAAAAATAATGCATTAAAGACATTTTCTAGTCTAGAAAGCTGTATCCCACCGAGTTGTATTCATTACTTATAGACTAAAAAAGAAATAATCAAGGGTAAAACAAACACGTATGAATATGTTTGAGCAGGAAAGTATTGTGCTAACCAAATACCTTTCACATGCACCACTCCAGAAACCACCCAGAGAAACTGTTATTACAGCAATAAGAAGCATAACAATAATGCTCGGGTCTATTTTAGCTTGTGGTGGGGCATACAGCTTCACTTGCATCTCCCCAGTGAACACCTGCAAAGTAAACTGTAAACATTAGAAACAACAAGACTACAATAACATGAATGAACAAAAGATGTGACCAAACCTTTTGCGCTTGTAGGAAGTCCCTGTACCTCATAAGTGCCAGGGGAATAGTAATCTTTGCATATTCAGATTCATTGGCTGATGGGGTAATCTAACATTTCAAATTCCAAAAAAGCTTTTGGTCAGACAGGCCAGACATACAAATATAATTTCTTAGAATAAACCGCACCAAAGTTGTGTTGCTTGCTATGAGCAAAATGGTAGCTCCAAGTTTCTGAGCAATCAAAGCTTTCTGGCTGAAATCACAGTCTCCTCGCATCACCACCACAGCTTTTCCGTTGACACTGTCTGGAGTGACCCCTGAGCTGTTGCAAAGCAATTGGGAGGTCAAATTTAGCAAAGGGTAGGCCAACTGGAAGACAAAATATGATTCATTATTCATGGTTGAGAATAAGTTTAACAATAAAAAAGAAGATTCAACACATTACCGACATATCCAGGGATTGTGCCAGCGGAGTCCATGAGTGATTATGAACAATGCAGAATTCTTTCTCTGTTACGCCATCTGAAATATGTAAGATTCCCTCCTGGCAATTTGTCTGTGAAATTTAAACACATAAAAGAATTAAAACTACTCAGTCTGCATCATTTTCTTCTTTATGGCCACATTCAGTCGGTGCATGCTGATCTTTTTATAGTGTCTACATAAGTGGGCTCTGAAAATGTACTCAGTGTAACTTTAACACCAAATTATATTCTACAAAGGTCTAATATGGACCTTTTTATACAATTATATTAAAACAGAGCAAGTCATTACACCAGTAATCCAGTCCAAACTATAAAGTATCTAACCAAAATTGTACCCACAAAACTTTCATGCTAAATATCAAAGTATGAACAAGTTTTAATTTTTTTCATAGCAAACCTTGTAATTGAATTAAATTATGTATTTCGTCAACTAATAAAACATTTGATTAAAGAATGCCATCGACTAAAGAACTAAAGACAGAGGATTACTCTAAAACATTATTGTGGTCAGGGATTTTCTACTGGATGTTGTGACTATCTGAAGGTCTGAGCAAACTTATCTCTTGGCAATGTGGCAGACACTCAGGAGAACTGCTGTATTTCGCCTTGGTATTAAACCATGCGAATGCTGTGAAAACGATGGTTGTAAAGCTTATTCTGAGTCCTCTGCTGAGACACGATCCCAGAGACAGACCCATTTTTCATTGACTACATTACTTTTACATGCCATTACAAATTAATAACAATCTAAATGGAGACGAAACTGATGACTGTTTTGTTTATAAGCGCATGAAACGTGTCAGCCACAGAAAGAGCAGATACTTCCACAGTTGCAATACACAGAAGGAAAATAAACTTGTTTTTTTTATTGTTCCGAAATCTTAGGTGTTGGTTTTAGTTACATCTGCTAGCTGGTCTATGAAGTAGCCAGTTGGTAACATTACATTAACATTACTTACCAGCGACGACAGGGAAACAATGGCAAGAATGACAATCCTGACAGCACTTGCCATGTCCTCCACTGTTCCTTTTCCTTAAACAAGCAGTGTCAGAGTATATTATCTTTGACAAAATGTAGCAGATGAAACTATTTATGTCATGTTCGGGAGAGGTGCTGTCCTGGTTGTTCCGTATTGTTCCAAAGCTACTTCCGCATCAGCCCTGTCCACGTGAGACTGCGTCACGTTTTTGCATTTGCCTTGCATTTCGTGATCTAGTAACGCCCTTATTTGTAATTAATATTTTGTGGAATAAGATAATAAATAAATAAAATACATCAGACAACAGGACCTTTAAGACAAACAAACAAAGAAAAATACAACAAACTACAGTACACGGCAAGACACAAGACATATATCTACACTGTTGTTCCCCCAAGTCTGAGGTCTGTGGGTCTATAGTTTGAGCTTGGCTGGAGTTATATAGGTTCACGACAGTAAGTCATAATAAGTAATTCATAAATTACTATATATATATATATATGTGTGTGTATACATACTGTACGTGCGCGTGTGTTTGTATGTGTGTGTGTGTGTGTGTGTCATCCTTGTCAATAATGCCTTCCCTTACTGATGAATAAAACCCTGAGATACTTGAACTCCACCTGACTGTAAGGCAACCTTTTCTGGTCAAGATTTCAAATGCTGATATTCATCAGGTGAAGTGCAGTGCCAGGGACCCCACCTCCAGATGTTAATCCTCGGCATGATCACTACTTTTGCTGGAAGATTTAACTGATGGTATACATCCAGATACAGGGAGATACTTTCAAATCGGCACTGGAATAAAACTTGTAACTTTCTTGCTGTGAGGTATAGGCTACCCACTCAGCTGATCTCCAATCCAAATTCCCTCAGGCTTCCCAGCTGCGCCTAGAAATGAGATAATCATGCGTTCATCATGATTACTGCTTTCTAGACACGCTGCTGTTGAAGTGTCCTGGGAGATAAAAACTGTGAGACACTTGTCTTCAAAGGCAGTGTACACTTCATCATGAACTCCATCGTGTGGTGGATGAGATAGGAGCCAATGAGCAAACCCAGCCCAACTCCTCTCAAAGAGTTGGACCCTCTCAGTTCAAGCTTCTTGTCAGTATGTCTGGATCTCACATATAAGGCCCCACCCCAGAGCAGGTGAGGCATTGGAGCTCATGAGGTGGGGACTAACTGCTAAACCCTCCTCCTGTGAGCTTACCCAGGGACCTAATCTGGCAGCTCACTACTGTTCATCACCTCATATGCCCAGCAGTTGCAGTGTCCAAGACCAAAACATGTGTTTTCCTCGCTCTCCTGGGTACCTAGGGCAAAATAAAAAATGTAATTTGGGATTACATCTGTGAATACATTTATTGATACAAAATATTGTGCTACTTTCTGTCCAATATTGTTTCAACATTTATTTACCACATACGACTTTACTGTTCCTTACATGCTGAAATAAAGTTCTGAAAGAAATCCAGCAATCTCTGGCATTGGTTCAAATGTTCTCCATGTTTGGAAACTGCTTCTGCAGCCAAGGGGTTGGGTGCAGGAGGGACTCCATTCCACTCCAGGGAAGTCCATTTATATACAGAAATGAGAATTAATGTTAATAATACATTTGTGTTAATCCCCTTGAAAACAGTCGAAATTTCCATACAGCATATACAAACCAACCAAATGCTCTATTAGTTTTTGATAATCAATATAATGCAGGTGGCCTACAACATCAAAACCTCAAAACTAGGTCTATTTGTGATCATTCAAAAAATCTTGATCAACCTGATATTGTAAAAATCTGTTTTTAAATTAAGACTTCCTGAGAGAGTGGCTTTCACTGAGGCATGAATCAAACCGGAAGAACACAGTGACAGTAAATAAAATGTTTTGGGTCATCATGCTCTGAACGGGGTGAAGGGGTAAAAACACCTATGATTATGGACTCAAGGCCACGTCCGTTAGAATTATAGAATTCACTAGTTTAACACCTTTATTGTCTAAGAACAAATGATATTGTATTAATCCAACAAGATGAAACAAGTATTCACCATGCTCTTATGAAAGCGTCTGCTTTTCCACCCCTTAGTCCACAATCCCAGATGGGTAATGTGAGCCTATTGTTTTAGTTTCAAGTTTTGGTTTTCTTTATGGACCAGAACTCTACTGGAGTGTACTTTTCTCAAGAAGCTTATGTTGTTTTTAAGGCTCATATTTGTCCTATTACGTGTTATAGTAAAACATGGTTTAATGCAATGTATATATATTAAAAGAACCTTATTACAAGACCCTTGAACCTTGAAAGTTATTTAAATCAAATAGTTCATTGCTTTAGAATGACTGAGAATAAATGGTCACACATGCACTGCCAACCTGCAGTTCAGACAACCAATGCTGTCTTTGTCGGGAGCAGGATTAGAACTTTCAGCCATCAGCTCAGAGGACACACATTATACCAAGTGAGAGAACTTAATTACTGCTGCTAATGGTTGGAGTTAAAATTGTGCCAATTATCTGAAGTGTTATACATGGGTGGGTGCGGCATGATTATAAACACTCAATCAAATTATGACGCAAGCCTGATAAGAAATAATGCAGCCATACATATATGACAAATCTGTGGATAAGGAAGTAATACAACATCTAAGCATGAAAAAAAATGTAATTAATACTTCTCATTTTTCACCTGTAGGTGAAGGTTCAGAGTTAAAATTGCCATAGAAACAAAAGTGAGTGCAGAGATATGTCATTGCCATAGTGATTCACACTTCGATAGGCCTATATATTATATTATTTTAATGCTTGAAAGAGAAAGGTGGATATACCAGTAGGCCCTTGGGTCTCAAACAATACCACATATGTTGGTACAAACTATTGGTGAAAAACTGAGTTTTTTAAAATCATAATTTCAACACGACCTGGGTGTCCATCAACAACTAGGTTTTGAACAATTACATATCTTTAAGATGCCATTTCTTGCGTTGTGAGCAGACTATAGGGGCTCAATCAGAGACTGTAGAAGGAGTCTGTTTATTATGGACTCATATGGTCTATCTGTCCAGCGGCTACATGGCATGAGATGATTGACAACAAGATGCAGTATCTTCTGTCTTGTTCGAATCAAGTCTGTTTCATTGTGTCTCGCGGCTAAAATAAGATTTATGACAACACAAAGAGTGATTTTTATAATCTCCGTAGCCTTCTTCAAGCCACTATTGTGTTTATTCTTGTATATTCTGTCTAGCGATTGAGGGGCTGACCACTCCTCGAGGAAGATACCGCCTCTCCTCAGTGCTTCAAAAGGCATCTCCGTGGTCCATGGAAGACGCGCACAAGACGCGCACCGGAGACGGACCTTTTGCGAATGCCTTCAAAGTGCTCCAACGAAGCCATTCAGGGAGAGGACAGCAGAGTGTGACATAACTCTTTAAAACAACATTTAAAGGTAAGTTTATCTTTATTATGCATGTTTGTCACTGTAGAGCAGTGATATTTTTGCCTATTCTGAGCAGCCGCTTGAGCATGCAGTACAACACGCCGACGATAATTGGGTTGATACACGCATGAATTTACCTTAACAAAATAGGCTGCATCACAGTATATTTAACATTGGGTGTATTTGTAAGTCAGTGGTATAGAATTAGTTAGGACTGTAATCAAGCAGCAAGCTGATATGACCCGACTTCGTTATTCTTAAAGTTCTGTGAACTGTATGATTTCATTAATAGTCCTGCTTTAATAATCCCAATGGTGGATCCACTAAGATGCGCCCTCTCTACAAGAATACTGAACATGATTAATTGGTCTTTTGTGCTCAAAATGTCTGTTACCATCACTCAGACTATATTATATTCCCTCGATGAACCTATAGGCAGCTATAGATGTGCTCAGATTTTGATCCGGCGCCTCATTTCCACTGTTCCAATCTCCTAACCATTTCCAGCCAACACACTTAGTCATGTACACTTTGTGCCTTTGCACACTTCTTCTCAGCCCTTGACTCATTTGTGTTCGTTTGGACTCTTTCTCTCCATCACAGCTGAAAGGGGCAGAATGATACATGCCACACAAAATGTATGAGAGTGAGCAGTGTGCAGTGAGTATGTGTAACCTGATGACTGACCTCAACATCAGCTGCCCCTCAAACTGGACAGATCAAGGCACGACCACACAGCTTCCCACTTTCAACACAGCGGCCAAAGTGCGAGTCATCATCACCTTCATCCTGTGTGGTGTATCCGCCTTCTGTAACCTGGCCGTGCTGTGGGCCACATACTCTGATGGCAAACGCAAGTCTCATGTCCAAGTGCTGATCATGAACCTGACTGTGGCAGATCTGCTGGTGACCTTCATAGTGATGCCAGTGGATGCTGTTTGGAACATCACTGTCCAATGGCTGGCTGGGGACATTGCCTGCAGGCTCCTGATGTTTTTTAAGTTGCAAGCTATGTACTCATGCGCCTTTGTGACTGTAGTGATCAGTCTGGATAGGCAGTCGGCCATCCTCAACCCTTTGGCAATCAACGAGGCTCGAAAGAGGAACCAAGCGATGCTCACCGTAGCGTGGGGCATGAGCTTAGTGCTGTCAGTGCCACAGGTAAGTAGAGACAGAAATGCATCAAAAATCCGAATCATACTAAACTTATACCATGAATAGTCCTTCATTATAATCTGCCTGAAGATGCACTGAAAAACTGTTCTGGTGGGCTCGCATTTTGTATTTATAGTTTGTTTTGAAAATTAACAAAAAATTGTCCATATTCAGAATCAGAATTCTTTTCATTGCTGTTGTAAGAAACAGGAAGGCACAAACTAGGAATTTGCTTTGGTTTTATGTGAAAACAAGTTATAATAGTAATATTTATGAGGCCTGCATTAAAAAAGTCTCCATAAAATCATGTCCGTGTTATCATTACTATGCATAAAAGCTCACTTAGTACACACAATAGACATTCATTCAAATGGCGCTGCTGAACTCTGCATAACAAATTTCAGACTCCTGTGTCTGACAATAAAAAGTAATTATCTATCTATCCAAATATATTGTAAAAAGCAGACATGGGACAACTTCACAAAAAGCAGGTCACCAACAGATTTCTCTACAAATCTGTGAAGATAATTGGGATGAAACCTCTAACACACACTTTTTTCTCTTTAGTTGTTCATCTTCCACAGTGTGACCATCTGCCATCCCATGCATTTCACTCAATGCACCACGCGAGGGAGTTTTGGCCTCCAATGGCACGAGACGGCCTACAACATGTTCACCTTCTCCTGCTTGTTCCTCCTGCCGCTGGTCATCATGATCACCTGTTACAGCCGGATCTTCTGCGAAATATCCAAACGTTTGAAAAGAGACAACTGTAAGTTATTTGTTTTTGTTTACATTACAAAGACATATCATTTTTGAATTGTGACTTTCTGATTATTTGCATTGTGCATAAAAAAACATATTTGTTTAGAGCAATTGCAAAAGTAGTTGTGTTAATCTTCTAGAATTTTATATTTCAGTTGGAGGGCAGGTGCCAAGTAAAGTTACTCGGCTCATTATGTGATAGTGATTAGATTCACAAACCCACCATATTATTCTTACGGCCAAGATCATGCATACGTCTTATGGATATTGTCACCAATTCTTGACACCTTTATGAGACGATAATAAACATTTGATATTTACTAACAACTCTGTGGCAGTTGTTGTTTCATGTGGACTGGCCCAGGAATTACAGTGAAATGAGCTCTTTGATCAACGTTACCATAGTTACCAGGAAAAATCAACTGCCCTCCACCACAATTTTCAATTAGGCTTTTGAAAAGTTGTGATGTCACATGAACACAACCGATTTCTTGACACTTCCAATAATGAACAGATAGTGAGTGATATGTTTTATTTTAGTGCCACAAAATGAGATGCATTTGCGGTGTTCCAAAAACAACATTCCCCGAGCCCGGATGAAGACTCTGAAGATGAGTATCGTCATTGTGGTGTCATTTATTGTGTGCTGGACTCCGTACTATCTGCTGGGGCTCTGGTACTGGTTCTGTCCTGATGACCTTGAGGGAAAGGTGTCTCTGTCGCTGACGCACATCCTCTTCATGTTTGGCCTGGGAAATGCTTGCCTCGATCCCATCATCTACGGCCTCTTCACCATCCACTTTAGGAAAGGACTCCGTCGGTTTTATCACAAGGCCATGGCACCATCAGACACTGAGAATAACACAGTAATAACTGGATCTTTTACAAGCAATGTCAACTCATTGCAACGGAAGAAGGAGGTAAGCCACAGCGCCAAGGAGAGCTTTGTCATGTTAAGCAAAAATTATCTTCTGCAAAACAATGCAGACACTAATGATGAGAGCATCTTATGAAAACCATAAAATAATGCTAACAATGCATGCTTCTGTTGTGTAATTGTTTTAAATGTTACAAAATGAACATGACAAACGTGACACCTTTGACCAATTGTAAATAGTTTCAAAATAATTATTCCTTAATTAATTTGTGTCTTTGCACCATAAATGTTATCTTTTATAAAATATGTATTCCAACTTTTTGAAGATAAAACTACAGCAAGCCTCTGGAGGACGGAGACTTCACATATAAGATGTTTGGTAAGCACAGCCTATAACCATGGATTAGTCACAGCTGCTAAATAGAAAGTCAATTTCCAATCTGCGACACTGACACATCGATTTTTGAAAGAAACAACAGGGTACTTAAATTACAAATCATATTTTCCTTTTTTGACACACGTCTGTGTATTGATGAGTTTAACAAAGGATGACCTGTCACTCATTCTATGCACTTTACGGACTTTTTCGAGTGGCCCAATACTTTTTGACAATATGCTCACATCATGATTTAGTTTTGAGAAGTGAAAGATGAAGAAGAGGAAGGTTCCCATTCCCTCATTAAAAATACATAATTTGCCTCTGAAATTTACTAGAAGCAGCAAGAATTGTGAGATGGTGCCATGCAATATTTCCATTGAGCCCCTGGTATTTCTTTTGTTTCTAATTTTTCCCAGTGTTCCTATCACTTGGTATTGCTATATCAACAACAAGACAGTCCACCTGGGGTCTGGCGTGGTAGGTCTTCCTTTATTGCTCTGGTGCTCAGGGCCATCTCCTGAGAAGATTAACAAATATATAGATCAGGGATTTACCAATCGGTCGTACATCAACCATTCTAATTGGTTAAATTGATAGTAAAAAGATATTTTGAAAGCACTGCAATGGTACCTGCATACTGTCCCACATGACAATCCTGATCCTGTTGGATCACAGAATCTTAGCAGGGTAGGGCCTGGTTAGTGCTGTGATGGGAGACCTCTGTGAACACCAGGTACCACAGTGCTCTGTGTTATATCCCTAACCCTATTTTAGTCAGAATGACCAATCAATTTAATCTATGACCAATATAGATTGTTTGATTGGTTGTATAAATCAAAAGGGTTGCATTTATTTATTGAATCAATAAATAAAAAAACTGGTGAAATTGAACCAGTTTGCTTTCAGAGTGTACATTCCATAAGGCTGTTCCTACAATAATGGTCCCTCCAGCATCTCATCCTCTCTTCCTGATTGTTAAAGACATGGTCTGAGCCCGCCATGATTTGGGGCTTTGATCTTGATATACTTTTGTATTCTCGATGTGTCATTCTTGATAGTCGCTCAAATGCACACTAGTCCTCGGCCTCCTTACTTATGGCTTGCTGGATTTGGGTGAGGAGCTTAAATGTTTTAACATATGTGATCTGTTCCTCTTCCTTCGGCCAGCTTATTATTCCAGGTGTGCCATGGTTTTGATGTCTCAGCTCGATCTACTAGGAGCAGGTGTTTGCCTCTTGTAGGCTATTGATCCATGCCAACTTACAGTATGTTATAGTAAGCCCTTCTGTCAGCCATTCAGGGTGAGTCTTTTCTCTAAGAATCATTCATCTGGTGCTCGGGGAGGTCTGTACATTTATTTGACCAGCAGTAGGTGATTCATAACAGAGTATGTTGCTGTCCAGTTTTTCATACCTAACACACTTTCTTTGATGCCTGACCACAAAACAAAGATACAAAACATAAATCTATTCAATTAAACTAAATAAATTCAGAAACAAACACTTACTTGAATATAAACACAACATAAATCCCAGTGTTGATTTTGGTTCTAAATGTGCAAAAATAACAAAAGAATTTGTGATATTGTTGGTTGTTTGATTTAGGAACACGTTAACCCACATTTCCTATGTAAGCCTGGCACAGGACGCATACGTCTGGTGTGTGCCAAAAGTGATTGGGTGAAACTAAAGTGGAACTGTTTAATTACAATGAATTTTGGAGGAGTCAGGGGGATGCGTTTAATATATACAGTCTATGGTTTAACCCCAACTCTGAAGCTTGGGGGCGGCAGAGTCAAGTTGTCCTGGTTGATATGATAGCTAACACTATTGAAGGCAGTCCTCTGTTGCATCTGTGGAATGCCGGAAGTCATGTTCAGTCTTTGTGGTTAGAACAACCACAACCTGGTATTTTGAGGCACTAAACTGCCTCCTGCTGGTATAAACAAATGCATGTGCATCTTGATTTTGTACTTTCTTTCTGTAGCTGTAAATGGGTCAACATTGTAGTATTAACGAAACGATTACTGCTGCTTCTAATAAAACAAAAGCAACTAGAAAATAGGATGCGTGCGCATGCATGTGGGCACACACACACACGCCCCACATTTATTAGACTGTGACTATTATAACAGTCATGGGTCATGGCAGTGACCAATTTATTACCAAATTTCTTAATGTTGTCAACCCCAAAGCAGCTGCATCATCATGAATGTGCCCATGCAACAAAATATGCAATGACCTTGTAAAAATACCTTTCTTGCAGTCTCCAGTATTACATTAAGAATATTCTTTGATAATGTTTTATACAAAACATTGTTTAGGGTTCAGAAAAGTCTAAAAGTGATTCCAGTGAGAAAATATCTTTACTCAAATGTTATTTTACAAGATATAAAATGATAAATGATGAATCAGAATCTTCAAACGTGGGGTGTAAGATGCCTTGAATTTGATGCAGCTGATGTTTCCTGTAGCTGCATCCATGTTTGTCTCATGTCCTTGGCCCTTTCTTGTGCATTTATCCTCCTTTAAATGTGCACATAAACACATTTAATCTATTGCTTTAGTCAAAATGAACTAGATACAAAAACATTCAAACCTGTCTTGGAGATAGCGGCTACACCAATCCTCAAGTTTGGCAAAGTGACATTTCTCTTCCTTCGCACAGTCTGAGGGTGTAATTAAGTATGGCTTTAAGATGTCACACTCTCCTAAGTGGAAAATGTAAAGCTGATTGTGGCCAGCTTCCATTGACAGAGGATCCTTTGTACCTAAAAGTGGTTCAATGTTACAGACCAACAGCAAGCAGAAATAAATATGAACATTTGTGGCATTCCTTTACCTTGAATGAGGAGAGTGTGTAGTCGGCTGTTCAGAGCAAACACAGGATTGCAGGAGGTAGCGAGCATGTGTTTCGAAGGTATCATCAAAGAGCACACCTTTGTTTTATTGATGACGTCTTGTAAATACATCTCACCGTTTCTTTGAATCAAGAGCACCTGTCAATCCAATAAAAATACATGAATTCATCTATATATAATACATGTTAACCACTGACATACTATAATTGAGATTAAGATTAAGAAATCCTTTATTCATCCCACAGTGGGGAAATTTCAGTGTTGCATCAAAAGTTATAGAATAGTAAGAAATAGGAGCACACAGGACAAGATAAGTGAAGAATAGCTATACGAATTAAAATAAAACAAAATCTCTAACTCTAGCATCAAATAACAAGTATAAAATCTAATAATAAAATAGTACCAAGTTGTGCAGAAATGGCACAGCTGCTGCAGCTGAGAGGTCACCACTGTCTTTTACCCTGAAGGAAAATAGAAAGTGTGAATCTCTGACTACTGCATTACTCAGACAAACAACTGGACATGATTAATAATCATAAAGCTCACATTGTGTGCAGATTGTGTAACCTCTCAGTCCATTGTACCGCACGGATGTTCTTTTCTCGTGTTATCTTTCTTGTTGTGTACAATGCCCGACTTTTGCACTTCATTAAAAGATGTTTAGCATCACATGTACTGAGGGCATCATTGTAATCCAGAAAATAAATTGCAGAAAGGGGGCTATCCATGTCTGACATGGAAAAGACCGACAATGGCGAGCCTGTAATACATTAAATGTTTAATCCAAAAAAGGATGATTATATATGCACAAATAATTCTGAGTGTGAACACTGTGGCGTTGTGTTTTTGTTTGTCCACAAAATGTAAATAATCTGTGTTGAATGTACTGCTCCATGTGACAGTCCAGTATTGTGACGAGTGGATAGATTCATAGATCTAAAGAATACTATCAGGAAAACAATATCATTTAATGTCAAGTGAAATGATCTATGTGTGCAGCTTACTGCATGAGTAATCATTTGATACCACTTATTATTATATGGTTAGTATAAGTAACACCAGTATTTTAATTAGTCAGGTTTAATGTATGTCTCGATTCCATTATTGTTTTAGGTTATTTTATTCTGTGTAAATTATAGATTTTAGTGACTCATTCTGTAAAAAAAATATTTTGATGCTTACAGATAATATTTTACAAACATTTCAGTTTAACTCTTCAATTCCTGAATTTTAAACTTGATAAATAAATTTTCTCAAAGCATATTGGCCACAGATTTTGTAAGGTTATTCCGTTAAATATGAGACGATTATATGATTTAATGTTAGTCATGCTACACTGTTAACATTGTATTTTTATTCAATGCAACACATGTACATGGCTTTGGATGTTTCCCCTTTGGTCTATAAAGTCATCAGATGTTCAATGGTACATCTTTTTTATTTCCAAACCATCTCAATCTGTTGATTCTTATCCATATGTATCACCAACACATCATTAGGCTCATTATTGGATTTAATAAATGTACATAAGGTGTGTCTTCAGTGAAACTTAACCCCCATTTTTGCTACTTAAATTTTCATTACCCATATTTCCCAACTTGACCATATGATCTGAAGTTACTCTTGGTAACATTTATATTACTACATTAATAGTCCTTTGGATTTATTCTGAAATTGAATGATCTAATTGTTATCCATAAAAATATATTTATTGTGATTGTTTTTTGTATCACACTTTTTTTCTTTCTTTGATTAAGGATTTTTTTTTATTCCTCCGAGGAGGAATACATCCGAGATTCATCTTCTTTTTTATTTCTGGCAGTTACTGTAAAGTTGTATCATATATTTTTGTACCCTTGTTTTTGACATCATTAAAGTAAGCATACTGTATCCTGGCTGTGTTATATTTAGTGTGTTAAGTGCTTTCATGGTTATTGATCAGTTTCTTTTCAGATTTACCCTCTGATTGTCTTAACTTGTCTTGAAGGAAACAATAAAAGTGAAGAGAATGAAGGAAGTACCACAGACTCACAGTAGTTTCTATCCCAAATGCACACCAGCGCATCAGCGAGACCAAGAGCAATGTAGCGAGTACATGCGCTGACCGTGGAACAATTGATTGTGTTTGCATTTGGCCACACGGTTCCAGGCAAAACATCTGAAACACAACCATGTCGTTTTTTCTGTTTTACTACAACTTAAAAATCAATCATTTAGATCGAGCGTCAATGGTCTTACTGGTAATGTTAGTTGTTTTTTGGAGGGAGTACTTAAGAAGATGTTTCCGTCCACCCCACCACACGCACAAAGCATTAGGGATATCTATGAGGAAAATGTCAAACAGTTTAGTGGGCTTTAATTTAAACATCCAAGCACAGTATATTTTGCGATTATGAAATATGTAAGAATCGTTACTGCTTTGAAGCCTCAAATAATACTGTCCAAAAACTATCATCAAAAATGAACTGATCCAACGTTTCTCCATTTCATTTAGTTGAACACATTTCCAGATGTGGACCAGAAACCCACAATAATTAATGGCACATTTTGGACACTCCACAATTTGTGTTTAAAATGACAACATATTACACACTTTTGTGTTCATTTTAATTTGTGTAGAGCAGGGCAGGGTCAACACTGTGAGACCTATGGGAGGACCAGGTGCTGTCAAACCGTTGTTTTGTGTCCTTAGGAAAAACACATCACCCCATGTGAAGGCCAGGCACAGATAAGTCGCCTCAGTCTGTCCCAGGGCATGTGTGGCTACAGTAGTAGTAGTAGTAGTAGATTCAGATTCAGACTACTTTATTTATCCCACCAGGGGCAATTCATTTAAGCAGCACCTAAGATAGAAAAAAAAAAAAAAAAAAAGTAGTAGTAGTGTCTAGACTCTGAGTGCATTATGGGTGGCTTTGGGCGTTGCAAAAAGTAGTACACTTTATGATTATTTGATTTTATTCCTTCAATTAACCATATTTTTTCTTCTTTCTATTACACATGATGTTAATACAAACCTTTGTTATCTTTCCTCTCATCAGATAATGGTAGCAGAAAGTGTACGGTGCAGAAACTAAAAAACAATACATGTTTAATTTACACAACAATGAGCCGCTCACATCTGTTCATACCTTACACTGCAGCTTCCATCCAAGGCCAGGTATTGTGAGTGGAACTGAGGATGACTTTCAGGAATAGTGTCTAGATAAAACAAGTAAATAAATGTTGATTTTTGTGCATTGTAACATGCTTACACAATATCTTGTACCTGTCACAGAATGTAGTGGCTTGATTTGATGTATCATTTCAATAGGAGACCACTGAACCTCTGACACGAGAGAGGCCTTTGAATCCTGCCAGGGAGGTTACAAATTGTGCTATATTTGTCCCATATGTGTATCTACTGTTTGTGCGATCTGCTTTACCTGTTGAGAAAGAGCTGATGCACACTCTTTTAGCCATGTATCTATGGGAAAATAAAACACTTCAATCCAAGATGCACCATTGCCTGTAGAAAGAAACACCAACCACATTTTACTTAACTTATATATTTAGTGACATATCAGCTTACATACAGCTCATTGAAGTGACTCCATAATCTCCTCCTTGAGACAATTGAAATGAGACGCAAATACTTCGATTGTTGATATTCTCCTAGAACATAAAGTTGTATTCATAACTCCCAGTACACCATGATGGAAACCCCTATGTAGTGATATAGAACTTATATACCATTGTGTTAATGATGCAGAGAAGTTGAATTACTTCTGATTGATTGATTAGGATTCTGGCAACCCCTGAGAGAGAAACGTATTGATGAAAGGGATAGTCACCGACATGCTTCATGTATTGTAGGAAAGCTTACCCATGTCATCAATCGTTCCCAGGAGGTAGGTCTTTCCTGACAGCCTGGTCAGTTGAATAGATGTTATTTCTACGTTATTTTGAGACCACTCAGCAATCGACCTGTATGAGGTTGCACACCAAACTGAGAGTCCTTTGTGCCCAATAGTGAAAAACTGACCATCTTCTGACAACGCCAAGCAATTGGTGTTCTCTGGAAGCTGGTTCACAAGGATCCAAAATAAATACACATTCAACGTAACAATTTCAGTCATTCGATGGGAGATATTGCCTACCTGATGCACAGCAGAAGTGTTTAAACGCGTGTCCATGTTCATCTAGCTAAATCAGCTAACGTTATAGCAAGCTAAGTTTTACTTTTATAAGGTGAGTTGAGAATTACACATTTATTTCACAGAAAACTGATGTACTTGGCCAACAAACGCTAAAGTCCGCTGACGTTAGTTGGTATCTTGTTGTGTGAGCTCTTGGGTACGCGTTTTGTTTACGGAAAGTGTTTCCTGCTTTCCGGTGACCATGGTCACCATGGTCACCATAGAGCCTTGATCGAGTCTGCCATCCCGCAGTGAAAGGTTGAATTTATAAATATTTAAATTAGATTAATAATAATAAGCCACTGTGAGTAAGATACACTTCCAAAGTATATCTTGCAGTGATCCATAAAAACGAAAGTCGTGTAACCCTACAGGCGTCAAGTGGCAGTGTGAGCTCCTAAATCCCCTGGGCCTACATTTTCTTTAAAAAAAATATATTTCTATTTATGTTATTGACTTCATCGCATGTCTATTTCACATCACATTTTTGAAAATTAGTTTACTTCATTCTAAAAATATAATCAACTCGTTAACTGACCCTTCTGTATCGCGTGCAGCGTGTTATAACCACCAGATGGCGCTAGAGCACAAAAGAAACATAACTGGATATTGATTATCACCTGTCCAAGTCTATACCGTCGAGAATCTGTATATAGGTACTAGGGGTAAACATGTATGTTAGCTGTCAGTTGAGTAATTTGTATAATCATCCCGTCAAGTTATCATTTCAATTTTATTCTAAATGCATCTCATATGGTGATGACTCATGCTCATGACTCAGTGTGGTGTAGACAGCCATAATAGCAACAGTGAGAAAATGGTTCTTTTAACCTAGTGAATAAAAACAAAATAAGAATGCAACTTTGTAACTGGAAATATAATAAGGCTGTCCTACATTAAGGCGTATGAAGGGCCATTCAGTACGGCTGCATTCAGAGGAAGCAAGGGCTATAATATGAGTTTAGAAATCCAACTCTACCAGTGACTCAAATTCATTCAACCCTTGGTTGAGGAAGCTCACGTCTTTTCAAACAGATCTTTGATCTTACGAGGACTGTTGCACTTGCTTCTGAAGTGTGAATCTTTCTAGCTGACATATCTATTACATTGGGAACAATATTCATGTGATCATAATATTTATAATGTGGCACAGTTACCATTATCATATTCACCAGTTTGCACACTCTCCCAGTTTCATACATTTCTTCATATCTTCAATACATAGTTTCACAATAATGAAGCCAAAATGACAGAAAGTTACTTAAATACATATCAGTAGTTTTTTTTTTTTTTTTAAACAAAAATACTTTTTTGCAAGCACAATTTACTCTGTGTTATTGTATTATTGATGGCTTGAGTTTGGGGTAAAAACAAAGCAGATCAATACAAACATAAAATAAGTGCATTTGTTTTTTCAGCTGTTAAAAACAATACAGATAAAGTGATTAGCAGCAGGTAAATCTAATTTAAATTATGTGTAATGTCTTTATTTCACTGTGATTGGCTGCCACCTGTGTGGTCAATGTTTACGATTTAATGAGTACACATGAGGAGTTCTTGGAGTAAAATTAAATCAAAATAATTTAAAGGTGCATCACTAAAAGTATGACACACACCTGTGATTTCTATCGTATGATCTGAAATAGAATGACAACACTCTGTAACAACATTGCTATTGGTCCCAACAAAAGCACAACATGTGACTGTCCTTCTCTCTCTCTTCATCAGTCCAGCTGTGGTGCTGCTACGAGCCCTGAGCTATATCATAGTCTGTGATACGCTGTTTGATGTACGACAGTTTTTCATGAAGGTATTTACATCTCTTCTTCTCTTCTCTGTAGCCAGGAAACTTCTGTGAACATAGAGCGTTGTTGAAAGTCAGTCTCACACAGCGGTTAGCGGCAGAACAAAAAGGAGATCGTATCAAATAGAATTAATCTTACCTTCTTATATTTGCTATACTTTTCCAGTATTTGATCTTCCATAATCTACAAACAAAAACATGAACGGTTAAAAAAACATGTACTGTTGGAGGTGTTTATAATGTGTGCTGCTATTCTCACTCGCCCATATTTGCCACTGATAAAATAACATTGTGTTGAACCACCTGACTTGCACCTCACATGTCATAGAATGTGAGGTGGAATATGAGCTTGTCTAATAGGATTGATATTAGCCTACCAATGTTTAACACTAAGGAGGACAATAAACAACAGTGTATTGTAGAGTTCTGTAGCAACACGTTTTTCAGCTTACTCTATATTCTTTAGTGCCGGGAGAAAGACTTTTAATCTTGGCCCCAAGTTGAACAAACATGTGAGTGATGGTGGCGATTCTTGAGTGAAGGTTTTTGTATTCGTCATACTCAGCGCAGAAATCCGTCTGGTACCTCTCACGCTGCTCCCAACTCGTTATAGAGCTGTACAAACTGTGAGCAAAAGAGGATTTCAGTTATTTACAACGGCACAAACACCAAAACCTTCAGCACTGAGACCCCCCTGAGCGATCAAACGTCTCTTCCAGTAAACATTTTAATATGAAAAAAATGGTATGTGTATATATCATAAGATTAATTACTTAATTATCTGTACAAAGGTATTCATGTAGCAATGTAACTAATTGCTCAATTGCTTGTTTTGTTGAGGGTCCACCTGAAGAGAGTCGAAGAAGCCCACTTTGGGAAACACCGGTGTCAATACATATTTCTACAGTGTCTCATTCAGTCAACAGATGGCAGTATTAACTCACTTTTTTTTCCTGTATTAGATTTGATTTATGTTTTTATTATTATAAACATTAAAAGTCCTGTTGTTTTTTAACCATTGTACACAATTTTCTTTTTGGATAGAATGAATAATTTTAAACAAACAAAACTCCTCAAATCTAGACTCACAGAATGTAGTCTGGTTTCTCATCCGATGCAGTCTTTTTTTGGATATCGGTTTCTGAAAAGATAAAATACAAATTAGAAAAGATAAAACCCATTTACTACTAACGCTAGAATTGAGCAACGTGCTGTTGTTTTGCCAAAAGCCTCAGAGTAAGTCAGTGTGGCCACATGCATGTGTCAACAAGCTGAGGGCCTGTAGGTATCAGGAGACATCTCAGCTTACAGGCACAGAGCACAAAGCACAAACTCAAATGTTGTTGAGTCAATCAGCCACACAACAAAATGAAAACTCAGGAGAGATTCAAGGAGCTAACAGAGATAACACAGCCCCAAAGCAACAGTCACTCTTGACAGCTGTCCACGCAATAACAATTACAGGCCATCGGAGCAAAGTCCTGTGGTCCACTTGTTTTTCTGTAGCCGAGCTGAGCACAGCCAAATCAAAACATATTATAGAAACCACTTGGCCAAAATAGAAGTTTGACCACATAGTGTGTAAAAATAGTTTGTGAAGCCATTGTCTTACACTGCAGTGCGAGTCTACAATACTAATGTACACAAACTTCCTATATACTGTATATATATATATATATATATATATATATTTGTGTATATATATATATATATATAAAAACTTATTCATAAATTAGCATCAGACTGCAGTCATACTGTAGGCATGAAAGTAGAGAGACTTACTGTTGAGTTTGTCCATCTGTTGTTTTAAATCCAGACTGGTATCCAGCCACTTGCCATGATTGTCTTTTAACCTCTCTCGCTCTCGGTCTTTGTGCTTTTTCCATTTCTTTTTTTTGTGCAGGTGGTTGGGAAGCGGATCTTTTGTGCATTCTGGATGTGCTTGTGTCCATGGAGAGCTGCTGATTATTTTCTCTTGTTTCACATCTGAGACCACTACATCAGGCACTTTGTGTGTGACAAGAATACTATTAGAAGAGTCCAGTGAATTATTTTGATCATCAGTAAGACTACAAGTCCTTTGAAACTCAGTTTTTGTGTGAAAACTTGAGAGAGGAGAGGGCGTGACCAGCTCCTGTGAAACAGGTTCTTGAGGGAACTTCTTGGTTAAAATCTTTTGTCGTTTGTCCAAAATCTTTTCCTGTGAACACGTCGAAGGCACAGAGCGTTTCTGTGGAACAACATAATCAAGTGTTATTGCTGAGAATGACACTTTCAAACTAAAAATCACCATTAATTCTGTACCATATTAGGATTTTTCTTCAAGCTTTGTTGCAGCATTGTATTTTCTGGGAACGTTTGCATTAATGGAGTTGCTGGGAGATTTTGTGATTGGCAATTGGTTGAGAGTTTCCTATTAATTGTAGGAATTAAACCAGGAAATGTATAAGACAATAAATACCACTTGAAAATTAATATTGCTCTTGATATGAATGAAGGAGACACACCTGGCAAGAACTCTCCCAATGAGCTGTTTTTCCTCTTCACTGTAGCCAGACCAGTCCTTTTGTACACTCTTGTAAAAAATGTCCTGTAGATAATAGTTGTTGTCTTTAGGATTCAGGTTCCCAACCTAAACATAACAAACAAACAAAGAATATGGATCACAACAACATAATCATACAATAATGTACAGTATGATATTACTGTACAAGTACCTCCTCGAGTATGGCCCCCAGCTCTGCCTTGTCTTTGGGACTGGCCCTCTCCTTGTCGAGCCACATCAGCAGTTGTGATTTCCTGTGTGGCTTTAGAGCCAGCAGGTGAATGATGCGTTCCCTTAAGGAGCTAGACCCTGCTCCACCGCTGACCCGAGGTCTTTGGGGGGGCTGCTTCAGTAGACTGTCTGGTCCAGATAATGACTGCACATTACGTTTGGGGAATTTGGAAGACCAACCTAGGGCACATAATGCAAATAAACAAAATACAGTAGTAGATTGAATAGGAATGGAAAACAATGTGTCATCTAAGGAGAGAGGAGAAATGCTTTTATAAAGGTTGCATGAAATAAAGTACAAATAGAATCAAGCTACATAATTGGCAATTGTATTTTGTCGTAAAGTGCTGAAGACAAATGCGGGTATTCCTGGAGCAGACAGGTGGGCATGTCACAGCAGTGAAAGCCGTCTCTTGGTTCTAATCTTATTATGGGTTAATCTGTGCTTTGAAGGTCGGGGAGGGGGAGGACCTACAGTCAAACAGGCCTCACCTTTCAATCTAAAGAAATATGCTTTAGCGCCAAGAGATAGCACACATGTAGTGTTTTTTTTACCAACAATGTATAACAGAATGACAAGAAAAAGACTTAAATCTGGAACAATTACATTTTTGAACCACTGCAAAATTATCATCACTAGTTCCTAGCTCTCTCAACAACTAGTTTTCACATGCATGCATTGATGGCAACTGTTACCACTTTATTCTAATAAGAATAAAGTTTATTATTATTCTAATAAGAATAAAGTTTATTATTATTCTAATAAGAATAAAGTTTATTATTATTCTAATAAGAATAAAGTTTATTATTATTCTAATAAGAATAAAGTTTATTATTATTCTAATAAGAATAAAGTTCTGGTTAAATGTGGTCACATAATGTTACTTAAACAAGACTCTGTATCTATAATGTATTTATAACATTAAAGAATAATTGTCAAGTCAAGCTGTAAATAATAGTTTTTTCATGTTTTCCTATTTCTATTTACACAAAGTAACAGACAAAGGTTGAATAATTAGAATAAGTGATGATGCTTCACAGTAGGGATGTAAAAAACTATGAATTTTCATGACCGACCACCGAGCCTCATTAACCGGTTGAAACCGGTTAACCGCGTAGTTTAAAATAGTCCACGTTCTTTGAAATAACAGCCATTTCGAGCCGCATACTTTTCATAAGAGCAGCTCTGCGTTCTACTGGATCAGAGCTGAGACAGCGGCGCCCAAACCCGCAACAGCTCCGGCACCTTTGCGCACAGAGAACTGCTTTTTTAATCTTCCCATTCTGCTGTGCTGCGGGTTAATACCAAAACTTTCTAGCAGCAAACGACGGCTCGTTCACATGGTCAGAGCAGCGAGTGACGCGTCTCACAGGTCTTCACAAAAGTTTAAATACAAGTGATGTGTGTGGAGCTGATCCCGAGGACCATAAACACAAACATGGTCCATATGGTTTGACTGGAGCTGCGTATTTGCGCGAATCCTTTGGGCTCCGTGACACAGAGGAGCGCGACAGACCGGTGTGTGTGTGTGTATGTGTGTGTGTATGTATGTGTGTGTGTATGTATATGTGTGTGTGTAAATGTAAGCTCCAATGTTCTGACCCGCGCCAGTGTGCAACTTTGGCGGTAACAGAGGGGAGAGATGATGCGTGTGGATGTTACGTATGGAGAGGGGGAAAGTGTGTGTGTGTGTGTGTGTGTGTGCGCGTGCGTGCGTGTGTGCATATGTGGCTCGTGCGGCGTGAGAGTCGTCCCGGAGTTTATAATACATGGGCGCACACAGCTAGAGACAGACCCGCTCGTCACACCGTGCAAATAGGGCTTGAAAAAGCGTTATTAAGAGACCTCCCCTCTCCCCTTTTTCTCTTTTTTAACCGACAGCTTTGACCGGTTAACGCTGTGACGGTCAACCACCGGTTAACCGGTCGCCGATTTACATCCCTACTTCACAGCACGTAAGACAAGACCTCGGAAATGAATACTGATTTAAACGAGGGCCTTTTTGTTTTTGAATGAATTTTCCCCGTAGATGTATGTATCCAGAACATTCCTACCTGGATGTCCAGGCTTGATCTCGATGACAGAGCGGTTCCAGCTGTCTTTCTCCACCTGAGACACCCGCTCGCGCGTCATCTGGTACGAGTCGTCGGTGGCACACACTGTTATCTTGTCCTGAATGATGCCTTGACCTTCAAGCTGCTCATGGCCCTGACTGAAAAACACATTCGCTTATTACAACAAGATTATACAGCTACACTGGCAACATGGGTAAGTATCTTTTATAGACCAAATATACTTAGATTGTTCTACTAAATAATGAAAAGTAAAACATCTCTTTTATTCTTTAGTTTGTACAAGTGAGTGCTATTATTATTATCAGCACATATTATCATATGTGCTGAACTGGGATCAGTTATAATCCCAAAAATTTTAGATATATCTCGGTCATTTACTATCTGATGTGGAAAAGTAGTTTTATAAAGTACGTAGAAGCATATTTTGTACCAAAATATACTCTGGATAAAGTAAAATTGTTTTAATCCTTCCCCTACTTATAGTATAGTAAAGTATAAAAATGCAAGATTTAGAAGTTAAGATTTATGCATGTGATGTCGCCATCTGCAAAGTAGCAACTCATTTTAAAATGGTTAGGGTTAGGGTTAGTAAAGTATTGACATCAGGAAAGATATGGATGGGCCTACTCAAGTAAAAAGAAACCTCTGCTACCTCATACTATCTATATATTTCTGACATTTCACTTTCTTACTCAATAACAACATATAGGCTTAGCGATGGCTCAACACTCAAACATGTAATTCAAAAAGATGTTGCATGATTGCAACATGTCCTCGCTAAGCACCTCCAGGTCTCCTGCAGATTCAGCCAACACGTTTGAGTCAAGCCAGGAGCTGGCAATAATCAGAGAGACTGGCAATTATACGGACAGAATCAAGTCTTTGAATAAAATAAAAATAAGTCTTTAGAAGAATTCCAAGTTGAAAATCCTCAGAGCAGATTCAGACTGGAAACTGTTATACTTTTGCTCTGGCATTTGGCTTTCACAGACGGATGGAGTCAGGCGCATTTCAGCTAAAACCACAGGAGGCAGTGACATGCAGAACCACTCAATAAACATAGCATCATAAGTCTCCATAATTAGAGGCTCTGGCCAAAAATATACAGGAAATTACAACTGCCCCTTCCAGCGCAGAGTAAATAGTAAGTTAACTATGTCCCTTGGAATCACAAAATCTGTTATGATGCCGCTTTTCTATAAAAAATATGGCGAGAATAAAAGTCAAACAAAGTACACAATGAAGACTGACCTTGATGCATATTGATGGATGCAGTCAAAGCTGGCTTGAGGCTGATCCTTGCTGTCTGTAGACAAGTAGAAGGTAAATACCCGGAGAGCAGACACTGCCTCTGGTGTGGGAGCCGGGATCTTGATGTACTAAGGAAAGAAACAAGCATAATAAGAACACGCTTTTGGCTGTTTAGCACTAATGGGCAGTTGGCTTTAAGAAGAGTAAGTTTTATTTCAAAAAGATAAACGATTTGATATGTTACCAGCTTGTATTGAAAAAAATGGCATTGCCTTGTCAACTACTTGTTTCCTGGTTTAATGCCACAAGACAATACAGCTCCGGTGAGAAAAGTTCCTCTCACTCAAACTATGCTGTGCATCTTTAGGTTCATTTTACTTTTAAATCAACCACTTACAAAGTCAACAGCTGTCTACACTTCAACCAGACCTGGTTGAAGCTCCTTGTGTGTTCAAGCTCGTACATGCATTCCACTTTTTAGTCTGTAAGTAATCCAGCCAGTTTGTGATCGAAAGTGCAGAGAAATATGTAGCCAAGTCACACAGATCTGCCTTGGCTTAACAGTTATCACTAAGTTGAAATTTGAACTGCACATCCCATAGTTAATTAAAAGCCTTCTCCAGACTGAAGTAAACCTCAGAAAGCATGGCTTCCATTCTTCCCCTTCCACTAAAAAAATGAATAATTCATGAAGTGTGTTTATTGAATTTTGCAGCACACTCCCAGAGCTCCAGCTGTTTTAAATGCCCAGTCAGGCGATGCACAAAGGCCCTCGCTGGCATTGGAGGCTGCTGGCCCTCGTGAGCAGGCAGCTCATGGAATCCTGCTGCGTAAACTACAGCACACTCTGTTTCCCAGCCAAAGGGGGCAGGTCCGCAGCCTGACACAGTCTCCTCAAAGGCCCTTCAACCCAGGGAGCCTTTCCAATACAAATTCAAGCCACAATAAATTATCACAGATATTGCACAGTCGTGAAACACGGTTGTTTGTCTTCAGTTCAGATTTAGAGAACAAAGCCATGTGCTAATCAAAGTTGAATAGAATATCTTAATACCAAGTTAATTTAAAGTGAACAGTGATCGATGTGCTCATCCACAGTTTGAGACAACTCTTTTCAAACCCCAAATATCAACTTAGATATGCTCTCCGGACAACAATTCCAAACAAAAAGTAATCAGTATCAAAGAAAACAACTACATTTACATCTATTCCACTCCTTCTTATAATATGAATTTAAGCTTTTGTTATGTTTCAAATTAGTTGAAGACATAACATTTAAACTTTTGAACCAATGCAAAGAAAAATCAACACCACACATCAAGTTTTAGCCAAGTTACGACTTGCTGTTTCTACCCACAGCAAGAAAAGTCAAACTAGAGAAACCAGTATTCTCTGGAGAGGTTATTATATTTATTATTATGCCAGTTGGGGCTTAAAAAGCCAGAAGTTATTTAGGTTATTTAAGGTCATGTAAGATATTTGTCACTGAACCCATCCAGAACCACTGGGCCAACCTGTAGTCCTGCTACTGTACCAGCTCTTGGATTCATATTAGAATGAAAACAGCCTGGTCTCTGCTGCATTCGCCTTGAGCCAAAGTCACCCACAGTCTTTTTTCATCCATCCCTTAATTTCTTCCACTTTATCCATTGCCAGGTCATGGGGGCAGCAGTCTGAGCAGAAACGGCCAGACTTCCCTATCCACGCACACTTCCTCCAGCTCATCTGGGGGAATCCTTAGGCGTTCCCAGCTGAAAGACATAGGACCTCTAACGTGTCCTGGGTCTTCTCTGGGGTCCTTCTGGTGGGACGTGCCCGTACACCTTCTGAGGGAGGTGGCCAGGAAGCATCCGAAACCCATGTACAATGCCTTATTACAGATGCAAGAAAAATCTGCAAACTCAAGTGACTATTTCTCTTTCTAAATAAATGTCATTCTAACACATAAATCCACAAATAAATACCATGTTTCAGCCCACCACCATATGTTCCCCTTTTTTTTTTATATGTACCTAATTTAATTAATATAATTTAATATTCTTTTTCGGCAACATACTTAACTAAGGTCCTTTGAATCCTAGCCCTAACCCTAACTATTATTTACCAAGACATATCTGACACATTTCAGATATATAAATATATGTTTTTATTTGTTGACGTATAGCGTTTATCTCAATTCAAGACTAATTTAATAGAAGCCAAGTCGTTATAAATGCTTTACAATTGACATTTTGGTGGTTGTATCTTCTGCAGTATAATCAATACTACACAACAAAAGGGCCATCAGGGCCATTTGTTGAATTGGCCCTGATATTAACCTCTGTTTGATTTGGGAACATTTTTTCTCGAACAAACTATAACTGACAAAAATGAAGATATTGTGACGGTGCAGAGGGCTTGTGTTTCCTGCGAGTATTGGGTTGAATGTGGGCTCTGGGTGTAGATCTGTTGCAGCCTATTGTCTTCACATCCTCTGCAGCCTCAGTAATGTCCTTCTGAAAACAGGCGTGCTTTTGTTGTGGCCTCCTCTGCTCTGGAAGGGATGCCGTGACACTGCTTCCCCTCATGGCTGATATCATGGGTTAGGGTTAGGGTTAGGGTTAATTTTAATAATCCAAAGAAATTTAATGTTTTTGATGTATCCAAATACCTCCTCTGTCCATTAGAAGTTGCTAGAACAAAACTGTTTTATACATTAGACAGGTTTCCTACAGTATAGTGGCCCTGTTTATTGTATGTAACGGACGTGATGATTTGACGGAATGAGCTATGTGTTCGTATTTCACATAGACATAGCACACAATATTTTGTGGGTCTTGAAAATCAGTGAAATCTTCAAAAATGGCTAGCAGTCAATGAGTTAAATGTGAAACCAGACCAGATTGTTTTCTTCTCAAGTTTAATTGTTAGAAAAAAATGGACGGAAACCATCACGTCCGTTACACATTTTTCAAGGGTCATTTATTTTTTTAACGATTCCTTTTAATATCAAGTGATTAACTTATGTTGTGTTAACCATGTTAATCTTGTGGGATTTCCTCAGCCGCTTTTTCAGACTGAGGACATCATATTTTCTATGTAACCGGCGTCACAGTAGAATGGTCAAATCAGAGGCTGATTTTGTCGTTTAAAATGTTGCCAAAAATATATTTGTAAATCGTTCCTTTTGATTTTATCCACACTATCTCTTTGATCTGTCTGTGTTTGAAACCTGGGTTGTAATTTTAGTTTTTGAGTTATAACCTTTTAAAGTCCAGATACTTTGATTGACACTTTACTGTGAACACACTGTGTATTTGATAATAAAGTGGACTTTTGCAATAAAAAGTTCCTTAGTTATGAACTTTTTTCATTATTAACTATTAGTAACTATTTCAATGCTGCAATCATCACTCTTTTTCTGTTACAAACTGACCCGGCCCCCATCGAAGAAGGAAAAAGTTATGTGGCCCTCACACAAAACGGTTTGGGGACCCCTGCTCTATGGCATACTGGTGCCCCCAGGAAACAAATCACTGTTTACTGAGCTATATGTGACTGGGTTCTCAACAAAGGTAAAATAGATATCTTTTCAGACAAGTTTAAACTGAAAAACACTGACATAAATATATGACATTGCATGGAAGTGTCAACAAGCCAATTTGTTACATATATATATTTTATTAGAAAGTATTTACTAAAATTATAGGAGGATTTTCTACTTCCAGCTTGATCATCAAGACTATGTCCTCCCAATTGTCAATGGGGTTATAAGTGCTTGTCAAAAAAGACCAGAGAGTTTTGTTCAAAAAGTGTAGAGGGTGGCTCTCTTCAAAAAATTGGGAAAATCCTCCCATATACCTTTAAGTTTGTTGCTGTAAGTTGTTGCTGCAAATATTGAAAGTGATATGTTCTCAGAGAACCATAAGCTCTCAAAAGGTTTTCCTCTAAAATGAAAAGTCATACCAAAGGGTTAATTTTACATCACACAACTGCTGTGGTGGAAGGTGCCTTAAGCTTGGGTCATCTGAATGCTGTTGTTTTGACTGGATTGTTCCAATCTATGACCATTTCATTTACCATCTATAATGGAGACAAGTAAGTGACTTTAGTGACCTAAGTGTCATATCAACGGTGTACCAAAAAACATACTGAATGCACCTCTAAGTACAAATTCACTAAATAAAGTTCCACATGCACATCCAAATAGGAAATCAGCAGCCTCTCTTACCCTCACCACACTGCAGTAAACACTACATCTCATCTTCTCTTCACAAACAAAAGAGACCAATGGTTCCCAGGGCCACAAGTTGACACATGCTATTTAAGACAAGTCCCCTCCACAATGACAGATAGCAATAGAAAAAACACAAAGCATGCCTGTGTCTGTGCTGCAGACAGGGAGTGAGGTGGGGGCGGCATAAAAAGACACGTTTTGACTGACCCTAGTCCCCCAGACCAGTTCACGTTGAAGTTCTTCTTCATCACAAGAAGATAATTGCATTTTAGTATGAATGGGAATGGCAAAATGTATATAACTGTTCAATCAATCAATATTTATTTTTTAATAGATGCTTCTTTAGATATTTTATTGTTGCTTATTCAACATCTCACCTAAACAGCCACATATTTTTGCCATAGTGATCTGATTAAAAGCAGTCCCATAGAAACTATCGTGGCACAAAACATATATAAAGATTGTATGTAGAACAATTTCAGATATACGTTTTATGATCCAGCAGTCACATCAGTCAACACTTTGAGCAACACTGTGTGTTTTTCACTTGTTGGAAAAGCCATGATTAATGTGGCAGCCTTGAGTGGGAGACAGCGCATGTAATCAAGCCCCGGCCTGTAATCACCTTTCATTTATTTTCATTTGCAATTTCTCAGTGGGACAGAGGGGCATACCAGTATGTATCCAGCTCCAAGGCTAGGTGAGGGAAGCTATCAAGAAAGTTGCTACATGATCACTCAGTGAACAGATTATGAATGCACTGAACATAAACGGTATTCCAGAGATATTATTGTCCTGATGAGATTACGTTACTCTACAGCATGAATCCTGAAAAATATACTACTACTGTATTCTTGACTTTTGACAATTGCATGAATTGACAAAATCATGCAAAATTATAATGTAATGTAAAATCTTAATGTCTTTAAATATGCAATGTATAATGTTTCAGTGTCTCTAAATATTAGCATGCAGACATTGTTCCAAATTCTCATGCATGATAAATTAGAGATGTACTCATTATTAAGAAAACCTATCTCAGCTTCGCCCACAGGCATTAAGATCTTTAGCACCAGTGCCAAGAAGATACATCTCCAGCAGGTGCCTAAGGGCCAAACTGTCAACTACAACCAATCGTGTCAGACCATTAAAAAGCCATTGCGCCCAGCCCAACCCCCCTGATGGGGCTAGACTGATTCAGAAAACAAGTGCCCTTTATATGCCTCATTATCTTATGGTGTCGATCTTTACACCAGGGAAATAGACCTTGATGTATCTCAGAGCCGCTGAAATCAGGCACAGGATACATTTGACTAAATAAGCTATATACGAAGGAAAAGTACTGTAATCCAAGCTGGTGAAAGCTTTGCCATTCTTGTAGAAAAGCAGCGTACAGTAAGCACCACTGGTATGTTGCACTTTATGGTCATGGGGTAAACAAGTAGGAGAACACACATTAACTGTAACACACTGTGTGGCATTTGGTGCATTTGGTATTGTGCGGTACATGAAGGTTTTTTTACTCTCCCGCCTTCAACACACACTCATCTGACTAGACACATGTGTGCAGTCTGTGCTATGGGCCTTGTTATTAGCCTTGGTAAAGTGTGCCACAGATGAACTGGCTCTTACGGCTGTCTGAGTCAGCCAGACAGGGAAAGCTAAAGCAAACTGAAGACGTGATACCTCATGCTCTAATTACAAGCATTACAGCTCACACAATTATGGCTAAACATTCATTTGGATAATAACTCCAGCTCCGAGACGATTATCGTGATCAGGAGAGAAGCGAGAGATTCTAAACATTGCACAATCAAACTTCATGTGTAAAAATAAACAAAATCATTTAAGCTTGGTATTGTAATCTCTGTATTGTCTTAAAGGATGTAATGTTCCGGTTATCAGTATCTTTATCTAAATTCAAATCCAATCATCCAAAAAATATTGTTCAATGCTTGTTTTTTGTGTCAATAAAATAAAGTGGTTTGGCAGTCTTTTTCCCACACTTGAACTCAAAACATGCATGTTCTTTTCTTCCCCGTCACAATCTGTTCTTTCACCCAATAATGACTCTATTACATAAAACAAAAATGTCAACTTTATGGGCAAATTGTTTTTATGTTGCTCTAATTCCACTCTAAACGAACTGTGTGACTGTTACGTAATGGTCAAAAAAGCCAATACCGACGCTTATTGGATTAAGATTTCAAAGCTGGTCACCCCCATCTACATGACCCAGGCTCTTCTGACTGGTTATGTTCAGTCAATCTGGTATCTATCCAGTGAGACAACAAAGGTCAATGATAGTGATTTTTTGTTCAGATTTGGGGTGAGTAATGCTTAAATTGAGACTTCAAAATTGAATTGAAACACATTGTGAATTTTTAATCAGCAAAGTTTGTTTATTTTTTTAGTTCATAAATGAAAACACAAATCTAATCGGAATTACTGTACATTTAAAAAATGAAATTCTGTTGCCCTGGTAAACCTGAATTTCTGATGACTGAAATAAATATAATACTGTTTAAGATAATATAATATATATTAAGTATTTTTATGGACCTACATCATTAAAGTCTAAAGAATATGCATGGCATATTCTTGCATCCTGAGCCTGACAAGTATTGGTGTATGATTAAATGATCTTCAAATAAAAGTTTCTTGCAATGTGAGATGTGTTTTATTGCCCCATAGGGTGTGTTTATGTGACATACAAATATTCCAAAGAGCCTATAGTTTAAAACTGTGGTGGAGGGCAGCTGAAAAAATCTTTCCTGGTTGCTGTGGCAACTGTCAAAAGTAAAACTACCCTGATCCAAGTTAAGAGGTATATTTTCTGTAACAACTTAGTCAATCCACATGAAACAACAACTGTCACAACGTTTGACACATTCTATGTGAGTACAGCTATGGTATCATTTGTTTTCTCATAAAGCAATGACAATAGTCAAAAAACATATGCATGACGTTGGCCAATACAAAGGACTTTCAGACATAGGACTAATATGGATGTTTTGTGAATCTAATCACTATCAAATAATGATCATGGAAAACATTTGGACATTTTCTGTTTCAAGACTTCTTTCAAAAAATGCGTCTTCAACTGAATTTCTTTGAGTATGGGGTATCACAACACCACCTCACTGCCTTCTAAATGTCCAGCTATTGTTTATTCTATAATTCAGAGTGGCCTATGGTGATTTATTTGACTCATAAAACTCTTGCTTCCTTCCCGTGTCCAGAGCGGCTCACTCTGACATAAGCTCTCAACACTTCCAGTCTGACCCAGTAACCTGCAGCCTCCTCAGCGGGAGGCGCTGTGCCCTAAGCCCCTCTGACTCCACTCCGAAGAACCCTGGTGGTCACTTTTAATGAGTCATACGGGCTTTGAAGAGAGAAAATCTATAGAAAACATACAAACGTTCAGTAACCCCAATTACATAATACACTGAGTGACTTACCCCTTGACTCCCATTGAAGCAAATAGATGGTTCACTATGTACCGATTCCTGATGAGAAAACACATTATAAAGAATTATTGTCACACCTTCAAGAAAACACACACTCAAGTTACACAATCAGCTGTTAAATACCTGCGCGCTCTTGCTGTTTCAAAATTAAACGTAACCTACTCTCTACGATAACAAACTTTCCCCAATTCCCGTTTTCCCCACAAAAGAGGCTTCCCAGAAAACTCTCCCTAGACACGTCCTTCCCGACAATGACAGGGCAGAGCTCCTGGTATGCGTCGCACCATTGTAGAGAAATGCAGAAGTCACATACAGGGCAAACTCAACCACAAGTAACTGTAAACGAGTGTGCGAGACGAGCTGTTATTTATTTATGTTGACTCAAGGAGAAAGGCTGCTCTGTGCGAGGAGGTGTTAATAAAACTGGTTAGATGCATCTTCTACAAGCTTGATGCAGTTTCTTAAGCCTATGTGACAGCTTTGATCGGAGAAGATTTAACTTATCTCATATACTATGCCACATAACGCAAAAAAGTAAGAAAAGTACCTTGATGTTTTGGAAAGCCTCCAGCGCGCGTAAAGCGGAGTCCGTGAGCTTGACATGGTACAACGTCCTGTTGGGATTGTTAAGGTTCTTCTTCCCACAGGAGAGCCCATAGTGCTTCTCTTGTCGGAGTGCAGCCATCTCTGGCTTTACTCGGCTCGTAATTAAAGCTGCTTTGCTCTGTCTGCACTCAGGCTGCTGCTGCTGCTGCTGCTGCGTCACGCTGTGGGCGGTGCGCGCTCACAGAACGTGAGGTGCGTGTGTCTGACTCATGGTCCAGTTCAATGTGTTCCTTCAGCTCAGCGCTGTCCAGCTTTTCACTGCACACATCACCTAACATCATATTTGTCTTTCCAAGTCGGCCTACCACATCTACATCTATGAACTAGTGTCGAGTTGGAGGGCTGGGCCTCGCTGGAGCACATTGATCGTTGTTTCAATCTTCGGTTAAACTTACCTGGGTATGACTGACATTATTTATCATTAGGCCTAGTGACAATAGTAAAATAAATGTATCCATACTAAAATATAAATCTGGGGCGAGAGTCTAGAAGTTTTTATATTTTGATTGTTGTAATAATAAATGTAGTTATATTGAAATTGTAAATAACTACGTATGTATTATGTGTGTATGACTGTAAATGTGTATGTATGTATGTTTGTCTGTGTGTTTGTTATATGTATGTGTGTGTGTGTGTGTGTATGTATGTGCAGAAATGCTTGAAATTATTAAATCAATCCAGTCAAATAATCAGAACCATCAGTACATAATGCCAGTAAACAAGACGGTATTGGAACAAAACTGACTGAAATAGAAACTAAAGCTGTTTTGTCTATAAATTAAACAAATACTCAAAATTGCTGTACCATCTGGGGCAGTTTAAATGGTACATGGATTATAGTTCAAGAAATCCTGCTGTAGTTCACAGTGTTGTTATAATAAACTTGACAAGCCTACACATTAGGCCATAATCCATTGTTATACAACTGCTTAAGCCTTGCACAAACGGACCAACAACAGCATGGAAATAAACTGACCTTTAAATAGCCTATCAAATGAAAAACGCCCATTCTTCATACGTTGTATTTTTTTCATGGCTTTATTATTTCGTTATTTCTGTTTATGTTTCAATGCTGTTACGACCGAATAACATATTTGCTTTTATGCCTTAAACTCATCTAAATGTCAAAATAAGAAATGACTCAAGAGATATATAGGTGCTGGAGCAAGTAAGCCAATTTAGTTAAAGAGTAGCTAATCTACTCTGTGAATGAAAGTGCGCAAACAGCACAGAGGCAGTTTACTAAAGGTCAACATGGAACAGGTGGCACTGAATCAAGTCAAGGCTATTTTTTGTTGTCAGCCTCTATCGTTTTTGTTATACAGTATTTATGATGTGAAATACAAAAATGAAAATGTCTTTAACAGCAGAAAGGAATAAGTCCCTTCCCCTCCCCTTCCCCTTTACCTGTCCTGTCTATTGTGTACATTTGCCATCTGCTCCATGAGAAGCTCTTAATGCTCGGACCCCAGGGACTCATGCTCCACACCTGAGGTCACTGACATTACATTCAAGAGAAAAACAAAACACTACTTTCACAGCCTTCTGTTGTCGTCCTATCTGTCCACATTAAAGCTTCATTGGTAAATCTCTGTCTATAAGATTGGAACAACAGGCCCAAAGTCCTGGAAAAACAGCCACAAGTGCTGTTTATGAGTTTATTGCACTCATTTTTAAAACATTAATTTTCATCAGACCGATAGAATGATAGAGAAAACACATGTCCTGACAAAACAGAGCATCAACAACTGTAGATGGGAGCAGCAGAGTAGCGACCACTGCTCCTGTTAGATGTCCTAGCGGCATGGAAGGATGGCTCAACGACAAATTTCCCTACGGGGAGAATAAAGTAGATAATAGAGAATAGAATTACTCTTTTTACATAAGTTGCATTTATTATATGAGTCAACACCCAGTGAACGCTTAGAAGTGAATGAGCTACCATGGTCGGTTATCCCTTTATATACATTTACTGCTGTTGCTGTTTTAAATTTTACTCAGAGATCTCATGCCTACTCCAGCTTGGAGCAAATTCTGGGGAACTATTTATTCTCTGCAATTCAATAAAAGTTGTAGTTTAAGTGTTCTTCTGCTGTTGTGTGCAGAGTTTTGACACATGTGGACCCCTCTCCATCGGGTGTTTGCTGTTGCTAAGCAGTCCCAGGTGTTCGGTGTTTTATTGCGCTCCCAGATCCCAGTGTTTTACAGCCACCGTTTTACAGAGAGCCCACAGGTGTAACCGATCTCTCCACACATGAAATGAGACGCTTAAATAAGAGTGGCCCATCCTCAAAAACCCTCTCTCTGACAGCCTCACATAAACCTTTGTGTGCAGAGGTGGCAAAGTATTGTGCTATACAAATAAAAAAACAAATAAAGTACCAGTATCAGGTAGATATAGTATCAAAAGGAACTCTAGGTACTGTAAAGGCCTTGCTAAAGTAAACATATGTAAAGTACAATATTATGTAAAAGGTTACAAGTAAAAAGCATTTTTGTTGCAGTATTGTCATTCAGCCAACTTAAGCTGCACCAATATAGTCATGCTATTAGGGGTGGGAACCTCAGGGTACCTCACGATACGATACGCGATACAAAGCTCACGATAATGATTATATCACAATATTACGATTATGATATATTGGTCAGAAATATACTGTTATAGAAATCTTTTAGTAAATCAATCTGAATAAACACAAAATAGTTATAAGTGTAAGTTATTAACTAATTCTCAACTCTGGATTCAAATACAGGCATGAATAAAAGAAAAATGTTACGTGAAAAAATACATTTTATTTCATGATAAATGGAGTGGAGATGCGTAATGTAGCCATTAAGTATTTATACGAATTTATAAAAAACGATACATCATGATATCGATATATCGTCACATACATGCTCTACCTTGTTGTTTATACTGATAATCCACATGACGTTAATGTAGCTGTGGAGCAAATCAATATGCACACGTTGTACCCCAGTTTAATGCTGAACAGCCAGAATCCGGTCAATGCAGTTTTACAATCCATGTTGTCAGCCCTTTGGATACGTCCGCTTAAGTAAAGTGACTTCTTACTAAAAGGTTTGGACACCTTGATGTAAATTATCATGAAAAGCAGGACTCATAACATTGTGTTAAAATTTGTTTTGCAGCATAATGATTATCTTAATTAGGTTTTTGAGTTTTAGCAGACTACCTTGCCATTTCAAACCACTACCCACAATAAATGAACAATTAACAGGCGCCATAACAGGACAAGAACTGCTGAACAAGTTGTGCTTGTTCCAAACCATATGGCAAAGAAAAACAAACAATAGACAGACACGTCTAGTTCTGTTGAGTTATTTTTATTTTATGAGGTATTTTAAGACTTATTTTCAAGGAAGTAGTATGTACAAAACACTTATACGTCACAGTGATTTCCATCAACATTACTACTGTATGTAAAAATAGAAATATAAATAAACAGACACTGCCCATGATGACACTGAAATCACATGTGCAAAGCATGAATCATAAACCATGTCTGTTGCATTTGCAGCTATCATACGTCATTTGGACTCTAAGTAATGTCATTCTAATCCTCATTTTGTTTTTGACTTGAAAGTTAGTGTGCTGGTGGAGCCATAAAGTAGTCAATCTGTGGCGCTTTTATCTGTTTATTAAAGCAGTCTTTCTGTTTGGTCTGCTGTGACTGATATGGCCTTCTTTATCTGTGCTTTTATGGGAGGAAGGTGTACGATTATTGAGAGGGGAGCTGGTTTCCCTGGCAGCCCTTGAGTCCTGCTGGATGACTCACAAGGCCAAAGACGTCATCATATTCACACTGAATGCTACTGCCACATCTGCAACAACGAAAGTCACCAAATGGGGGGATTCAGAATTTCACATCATGCAAGTAGAGAAACTCACCCTTTCTTGTATGACTCAACAAACTTACAACTCAATGCTTTGTTTTCTATATTTTGAAAAACAACAAAGTCATGTAACATTTAGATTTCACTTCACAGTTTTCTGTAACTTGTGTGTGAACGTGTGTGAAAAATAAAGATTTGTTTACGGTTGTAAACATGAACAAATCCAAACTATGGGCTCCGCCTCTTCACAATGACAACTGCTGTGAGTGGGGATATGAAAAAAATCCCTTTTGTGAGCATCAAAGCTTTAAGTTAATGGGTAAGTGGACTGAACAATGGTGTATGCATAACAACAGCTAAATAAGTACATAACAACATGTGCATGATGAGTTGTGTTCATAGTGCAGTCTGACAGCAGCAGAACAAAACACAGCTGAACTATTATATTTACAGTGCCTTGCGAAAGTATTGAACCTTTCAACATTTTGCCACATTTCAGGCTTCAAACATAAAGATATAAAAATGAATTTTTTTGTCAAGAATCAACAACAAGTGGGACACAATCGTGAAGTGGAACGACCTTTATTGGATTATTTAAACTTTTTTAACAAATAAAAAACTGAAAAGTGGGGCGTGCAATATTATTCGGACCCCTTGCGCTAATACTTTGTGGCGCCACCTTTTGCTGCAATTACAGCTGCAAGTCGCTTGGAGTATGTCTCTATCAGTTTTGCACATCGAGAGACTGGAATTCTTTCCCATTCTTCCTTGCAAAACAGCTCGAGCTCAGTGAGGTTGGATGGAGAGCGTTTGTGAACAGCAGTCTTCAGCTCTTTCCACAGATTCTCGATTGGATTCAGGTCTGGACTTTGACTTGGCCATTCTAACACCTGGATACGTCTGTGAACCATTCCATTGTAGATTTGGCTTTATGTTTTGGATCATTGTCCTGTTGGAAGATAAATCTCCGTCCCAGTCTCAGGTCTTTTGCAGACTCCAACAGGCTTTCTTCCAGAATGGTCCTGTATTTGGCTCCATCCATCTTCCCATCAATTTTAGCCATCTTCCCTGTCCCTGCTGAAGAAAAGCAGGCCCAAACCATGATGCTGCCACCACCATGTTTGACAGTGGGGATGGTGTGTTCAGGGTGATGAGCTGTGTTGCTTTTACGCCAAACATATCGTTTTGCATTGTGGCCAAAAAGTTCGATTTTGGTTTCAT